TTTTAGACATCTTTTATGCATCTTTTGCATAGTTTTAGCTTCCATTTGCATCATATCTTGTTCCTTTTCTCTTCTTATGCATTCATGTTAGTTTTAGGTTGCATTTGCATACATATGCATGTTTGGTCCTTTGAAATAGGTCTTTTGGAGCATTCTGGAGCATATGGGACATGAGGAGCATGGAGGGACTTGGCACATGGAAGCAGCTCAACTGGATACGCAAAGGAAGAAGGGAGAAGCCATCTTGAAGACCAGCTCGACCGTCTACTCGACCAACCGGTCGAGTTCCTCAACTCGACCGGCCAAGCTTCAACTCGATCGAGCTGAGAAGTCAAAGTCAAACCCGAAAAATGTTGCTTCCCCCTTGACTTTCCTTTGACCCTAAACCTAATCCTCTTTGTATTTAAAGGCTCTAAGCCACGAAAAAACCACCAAGCTTTAGATTATTTTGTTTTAGTTTCTTTTAATTTATTGTCTTTTACTTTTTAGAGATCTAATCCCATCTTTGTGTTCTTGAAGCTCTTGCTTCTTGAATCTTAGATCCTGGATAATCTCTCTTGTATTTGCACTTGCTTATTTCAATAAAAGTTGTTTAATTTCATCTCCTCTTTCTTATGATGTCTCTTTTATTGCATTTGCTTGTGTTTACATTCATGTGTAGTGAGTAGTTACCCATTGGGGTTTGAGATGGGATAGATTAGAGGTTTCATATGCTTAATCCTTCTAGCTTATGGTCTTAATCTAGATTCTCTCTCTTTTGGATAGATCTTAAGGCTACATGACCACTACCCCTGGCTTGTAAGTCCTTAGGCGACTCCCCACACGAAAGTGATGGCATTCGCTGGAAAAGATCCACTAAGAGCTCCAATATCTCTTGCTCTAGACAATAGAGGTCTAAGGGGTTGGATGGATTAGTTTGGGCAATGATCCTATAGCCTCCAAGGTTTGATTCTCACTGGCTAACCCCCTGTTTCTGAGATCATTCCTTGGTTGATAGCCTCCACCTTGGGAAAGGGTTGGCTAGGCATTGAGAAGCCCAATATCAAGAGAAGCCTTGATACAAGGAGTTTTAAGAGCTAGATTGATTAAGTGTAGATTCCTTTGATTGCAAAACCCTGTCTTGAACCCTAATTCTCTCTTTATCTTGTTAAAGTCGTCACCTTTAGCTTTGTTTGTCTCAACTCGTCCCTAAACTCGATCGAGCTGGTACTTTGCTCTGACTCGACTCGAGCTCTTGGTCGAGCTGACTTCACTGCTTTGTTTACTTTTATTGCACTGCTTTTCATTTTTTTAGGTTGTTAGTGTTACTTCAAATCTATAACTGCTTGCTTGACTTTTGGTTGTTTCATATTCTCAAAGAGTGACAAGTTTCCCATTTTGGATTGATAACCTCTTATACTTCAATGACTATGATGGTTAAGAGGAATTGATTGATTGTGATTGCACCATTTCATCTTTATTCACCCCTGTTTGCATTCCACCTCATTTCATATCATTCATATCATATCACACACAAAATCCTATCATCACCTTTCCAACGACCATCACTTCCATGTGGAGAATCGTCTATGGACATACAAGCCAGGGATAGTGGTCATGTAGCCTTAAGGATTTGTCCAAAAGAGAGAGATTTCTAGATTAAGAACATAAGCAAGAAGGATTAAGCATAAAAATCCTCTAATCTATCCCATCTTTGACCCTAAGGGAAACTACTCACTACACATGAATGTAAACACAAGCAAATGCAATAAAAGAGACATCATAAGAAAGAGGAGATAAAATTAAACAACTTTTATTGAAATAAGCAAGTGCAAATACAAAAGAGATTATCCAGGATCTAGGATTCAAGAAGCAAGAGCTTCAAGAACACAAAGATGGGATTAGAGCTCTCAAAAGTAAAAGACAATAAATTAAAAGAACTAAAACAAAAAGTAATCTAAAGCTTGGTGGTTTTTTCGTGGCTTTTAGCCCTTAAATACAAGAGGATTAGGTTTAGGGTCAAAGGAAAGTCAAGGGGGAAGCAACATTTTTCGGGTTTGACTGTTGACTTCTCAGCTCGATCGAGTTGAAGCTTGGCCGGTCGAGTAGATGGTCGAGCTGGTCTTCAAGATGGCTTCCTCCTTCTTCCTTTGCGTATCCAGTTGAGCTGCGTCCATGTGCCAAGTCCTGCTTTGCTCCTCTCGTCCCATATGCTCCAAAGTGCTCCAAAAGACCTATTTCAAGGATCAAACATGCATATGTATGCAAATGCAACCTAAAACTACTATGAATGCATAAGAAGAGAAAAGGAACAAGATATGATGCTAATGGATGCTAAAACTATGCAAAAGATGCATAAAAGATGTACTAAAACTATGCAAAATGCAAGTACATCAACACCCCCAAACTTGACCTTTGCTTGCCCTCAAGCAAACAAATAGAACAAGAAAGAGATGAGGTTTGAAAACAAGTTGATTCAACACTTAAAACATGTCTTCAAAAGCGATTTGCTAAATGTCTAACTTAGAGATTCTAGAATGCAAGTACATCAGGTATCATTTTATTTTTTCTATCGACCCCTCTATCAATCACAGGATAAGTCTTTAGCTTGTTCTTTGTTTGAATAAGGTATTCCATAAAACATGAAGGTACAGACATATACATTCCTCATGCTTACTTGTTTTCCTTGTGCTCTTAGAGCTTTTCTCAAAAGTATTTCTTTCCTTCATGTGTAGTGAGTAGTTACCCATTAGGGTTTGAGATGGGATAGATTAGAGGTTTCATATGCTTAATCCTTCTAGCTTATGGTCTTAATCTAGATTCTCTCTCTTTTGGATAGATCTTAAGGCTACATGACCACTACCCCTGGCTTGTAAGTCCTTAGGCGACTCCCCACACGAAAGTGATGGCATTCGCTGGAAAAGATCCACTAAGAGCTCCAATATCTCTTGCTCTAGACAATAGAGGTCTAAGGGGTTGGATGGATTAGTTTGGGCAATGATCCTATAGCCTCCAAGGTTTGATTCTCACTGGCTAACCCCCTGTTTCTGAGATCATTCCTTGGTTGATAGCCTCCACCTTGGGAAAGGGTTGGCTAGGCATTGAGAAGCCCAATATCAAGAGAAGCCTTGATACAAGGAGTTTTAAGAGCTAGATTGATTAAGTGTATATTCCTTTGATTGCAAAACCCTGTCTTGAACCCTAATTCTCTCTTTATCTTGTTAAAGTCGTCACCTTTAGCTTTGTTTGTCTCAACTCGTCCCTAAACTCGATCGAGCTGGTACTTTGTTCACTCGACTCGAGTCTTGGTCGAGCTGTTGCTTCACTGCTTTTTTACTTTTATTGCACTGCTTTTCATTATTTAGGTTGTTAGTGTTACTTCAAATCTATACTGCTTGCTTGACTTCCTGGTTGTTTCATATTCTCATAGAGTGACAAGTTTCCCATTTTGGATTGATAACCCTTATACTACATGACTATGATGGTTAAAGGGAATTGATTGATTGTGTTTGCATTTCATCTTTATTACCACTGTTGCATTCCACTCATTTCATCTCATTTCATATCATTCACACACACAAAATCCTATCATCAATTTGGCGCCGTTGCCGATTTGGGATATTTTTGTTGCATTTGAGTTTCAAACACACTTGGACGATCAAGCTATACCACCCCTGTTCTATTGTACTGCTGGGTTTTTGTCTCTTTTTGCAGGTGTATGCGAACTCGATCGAGTCGGTCTACAGAAGACTTGGTCGAGCTAGACTTACAACGGGTAGAAAGAGGGTTCAGAGGTCACAGAGGGTACAAGAGGAACCTGAGGTGCTTGTTGCTGATACAATGGATGTACCAGAGGGGAATGGAAACCCTTTGGGCAATGGACTCGGTCGAGCTAGGCAAACTCGACCGATTGGTCAAGGAGATGCTCCAAACCGCCACCAACAGAGACAAGGGATTGTTCCACCACCAGTGCAGAACCACAACTTTGAGATCAAGCTGGGAATGATCAACCTTGTCCAGAACAAGATGTTCCATGGATTGCCAAGTGAAGACCCCATTGACCACCTTGATGAGTTTGATAGGCTTTGTGATTTGACAAAGATCAATGGTGTCTCTGAAGATGCCATCAAGCTGAGACTCTTTCCTATGTCTCTAGCTGACAAAGCTCACCAATGGGAGAAGAGCTTGCCCCATGGCACAATCACCACTTGGGATGAATGCAAGAAGGCCTTTCTTGCTAAGTTTTTCTCCACCGGTCGCACAGCCAAGCTTAGAGGAGAGATATCCAGCTTCATCCAGCGAAACAATGAGACATTCGCAGAGGCTTGGGAGAGGTTCAAAGGGCTACACAAGTCAGTGCCCACACCATGGATTCAACAATGAATCACTACTCTCCACTCTTTATAGAGGATGCTTGCCTAGGTATAGGGAGATGCTAGACACAGCTAGCAATGGGAACTTCCTCAACCAGGATGTAGATGATGGCTGGCAACTTGTGGAGAACATAGCTAACTCAAATGGAAGCTATGGAGAAGAGTATGATCGCACCAACCGGAGCTCGACCCACCACTCGATCGAGTCAGACGAAAAGTTGAGAAAAGATGTTAAGGCATTGAATGAGAAGTTGGATAAGCTGATCCTAGCTCAGTCCACAATGAAGAAAGTCAACTTTGTGTCTGCTGAGGAGATGGAACCAGTCCAAGAAGGGGAGGATACACAATTTGCTGAGGTGTGCTACATGAGCAATGGGCAAGGAGGTTACAACAAAGGATACTATAATTACAAGTCCAACCCTGCCATGTCATACCGCAACACTGATGTTGCTAACCCTCAGGACCAAGTCTATCCTCAACAACAAGCAGCTCGATCGAGTCAAGGCCACAACATGGGTATGGTCAAAAGAACAATTACCAAGGACCACAAGGCACTTTCCCTGGACAACAAATGAATATCCCACCAGGCTTTCCCCACCAACCACCCCAGCCTGCACCTTCACAAGAGAATGAGCTCAAGGCAATGCTAAAGCAACTACTTCAAGGGCAAGCTGATGGGGTAGTGGACACAAGCAAGAAGCTAGCTGAAATAAACTCTAAGATCGAGAACCTCAACACAAGGGTTTACTCTCTGGAGAATCATGCTTCTTCTGTTGCTGCTGCTACAAAGCAAGGACAACTACCTGGTAAAGCTATTCAGAACCCCAAGGAACAGTGCAAGGTCATCTTCACTCAAGAAGGACTTGTTGAAGAAGAGGATCAAGAAAGGGTCATTGAAGATTTTTGTTTACTGCTGAATGATGAAGAGATTGTTGCTGCTGAGGCTCCTGGAGTCCAGATTGATCAACCAGAAGTGCATGCACCTACTGTGGCCATTCACACTTCACCAGTTGAGCTCGCACGACAAGCTCGATCGGCAGCTCGATCGAGTCCAACTCTAGCTCGATCGAGTCCGACCTCTTCTGTCCGAAGCCTGTTTTGCTTGATCCTTACCAACCGGTTGCCGCTTCCTCGTCTCGCCTACTTAGTCAAGGTCACAAGGAAGTGATTCACAAGTTCAGAAGAGATCTCAGTGGGATTGGAATTGAGTTGCCTCTATGGATAGCATGAGTGAGGCATTTGATCAAATGCAAATGGTCAAGGATGTTCTAGCCAACAGTGATAAAGTTTCAGAGGTCCTACAAGAGTCTACTCATCAGTTCAACCTGCTTACTTCACCCACCTTCCTACCAAAGGTCAAGGATCAAGGGAAATTCACTCTCCCTTGCACACTTGGGCATCTTGAGATTGACAATGCCTTAGTGGATTCTGGAGCAAGCATCAATCTGATCTCTCTCTCCATGGCAGAGAAGCTAGGCATTGCTGGAGCCTTGCAGCGCCCTACTACTTCAATCATGTTTGGAGATGCAACTTCTAAGTCTCCTCTTGGAGTGTTCAAGAACTATCACTTGAAAATTGGAGAATGCATCATCCAAACTGATCTCACTGTGATGGAAATGGAAGAAGAGAAGGATTTGCCTTGTTATTGGGAACCCCTTTCCTTAGTACAGTTGGCGCTTCAATAGACTTTCACAAGCAAGAAGTGATCCTTCACAAGGTGAATAGTTTGGTGTCATATCGCTTGCAGCCTAGAGGTTCAGACTTTTGTGCCACAATTGACAGTACCAATCTCAGTTCTAAGAGTCATGGAGCTACAAAGGTTGTGAAGGAAAGGGTTGACAAAGAACCAAGAGTTGGGAAGGATAAGGATGAGAGAGGACCAAGGATTGAGAAGCCACGTCTTGAGAGGGCTAGAGTTGAGAAACCACGATCTGATAGGCCAAGAGCTGAGACTTGTTCAAGCCCCTTGTGTGCTTGATGAAGAGAGCCTTCAAGCTTTGTTTGATGAGCCACTAGGAAGGGCTCTAAAAGAAGGGGAGGATGCAGCCTCTAAGGCAAGACCAGGGATAAAAGAAAGGATCCACCAGCTCAGGCCCCTTCAGTCAAGCCATCTCAGCTCACAATGACCTTGTTCCCCACCAAGTTTGAAAATGGGAAGATTGAGTACAAGATAAGGTACAAGGGGAGATCAAGGCCATTCTCTAGAGCCAAGGCCTTGGTGACTTCAGAACATCCAGGGACCCAACCAAGCTAAAGGAGCTTCTGTCTCAAGTCCTCACTATCACCCTTGATGGTGGGACTAGCTCAACCAATGCCTAAGAAGGTAAAGGTCAAGCTATGGGACCTTAAACAAGCTCACTTGGGAGGAAGTCCCATGTTTATCCTTGTACATATCTATTTATGCAATTTCTATCTATCTTTATGTGTTTTAACCTTTGAATAAGTTAAGTTTAGGTGTCAAAGGAGCCAGCTCGACCGACAGCTCGATCGAGCTAGAAACAGGGCAACTCGATCGAGTTCCTCAACTCGACCGAAGGTAAGTTTTTGAATTTCAAATTCATAACCGTTTTCTTGGTCAAGGGAGTGGGTCCCACAAGCTGATTTTGGTCCCCCACTACCCTAATTGATCAGAAAATCCCTAGCTTTTGTCCCCTCTTTATTTCATCTTTTAATCTCAACCACACATCTCAAACACTCTCTTCCCCATAACTCGATCGAATCCCACTCTCCCACACTCTAAATTTTCTGAAACCATCTCTCTCTTCTTCACCACAAGAAAATCGAATTTCCTCTTTTCTCTCTTAAGTTTTTGCGATTTCATTGTTCTCTTCTTGTTTTGCTTAGTTCTAGCTTACTGTTCTTCAATTCATCATTCAAGCAAGGTATGAACCCTAAAACCCTTGATCCTTCATCTCGATTTTCCATTGCTTGTTTCTCTTTGATTTTTGATTGCATGTGTCCCTTGTGGACTTGTTCTTGAGTAATTGCTTTCTTATCTTCTATGTATAATCTTGTGAATTTGCCTCACCTCACCTCTGTTTTGCCATTAAACTTGTTGCATGTGCTTGAAATTGAATTTGAGTTTGGTATTGGTTAAGATGCTAGGTTTTCACTAGAATTGCTCATTGTTCCATTTACTAGTTGTTCTTGGTTCAATTTGATTGATTAGCATCCTTTCCAGCTCTTATTGTTTGAATTAGGTTTGGTTATACTCTGTTTTCACTTGCTCGATCGAGTTTGTCACTCGAGTTTTTTGACTCGATCGAGCTGAGTGTCGAGTTGACCAAACCGATCATTACAACTCTAATTCTTTGAGTTTTTGATGCATTTCAGGAACCAACTTCAAGAAGCAACAGTTTAAGATGTTGAGAGGTGAAGGAAGCAAGCAGCGTTCACAAGAGGGAGATAACGAGAGGAGCAAGGAGGATACTCAAGACACTGACCAAGGAGGATGAGGAAGAGATTGAGAGGGTGAGGGAAGAGAGAAGGAACCAAGAGAGGAATGATCCCATCAGCAGTGAGAGCGAAGGGAGAGTTTGAAATTGGGTGAACATTCCACAAGAAGAGGAGTGATGACTCTAAAGAGGAAGGAGAAGAGGTGAATCAAGATTGAGGAGAGTGAGCATGAGGCAATGAGAATGTGCCCATGGAAGAGGAGGAGTCAGAGGAAGAAGAGGATGAGCTCCCCATGTACCAAGAGCACTATGATGCTCTCTTCTCCATGGACTTTGTGGAGACCAAGTACCCACATGATGACACAATGAGGCCCTTGGGATCTTTGAGATGTGGAGTTGGTCCTCAAGAACATGCGCTTGGCCAAGTTCTTCTCTTACCACATGGAGTCTACAAGGAGCTCACTTGTGAGTTCTTGGCTTCAATGAGGTCCACATGTAAGAGCTCGATCGAGCTGAGTTGGACCAAGGATTGGGATGGATCACGTTCTTGGCTAAGGGAGAGAAGAGATGGTGACCTTTAGGCAGTTGGAGATCTTGTTTGGGTTCACTATGGAGAGGGAACCAGTGGAACTATCAAGGAAAAGGAACTCCAAAGGGTTTGGGCTACAATCGCTGATGGAGTGTACTCTTCCTCAAGGTCCAAGGCAGCTCAGATCAGGAGCCCAGTGTTGAGATATGTGCACAAGGCACTTGCCAACACCTTCTTTGCAAGGAAGGCGACGGGACAATCAATGAAGAGAGGTGAAGCTCCTTGACATGGGAATCAAGCCCATCATCTCACGCACAAGGATGGGAGGAAATCAGGGGAGATAGAATCCATGCAGGGAATCTCATGCCTCTCTTGACCAGCTACTCTCCTACAAGACACGCCTAACACTAGGCAAAAGGGAAGGAAGCTTAGTGTTGGAGGAGTCATCACACCTATCCTTCTGTGCAGCTGGAGTCCATTTGGACAAGAGAAGGTCTACTCCAGCAGGTTGGATGGACATTAAGTTTTGCAAGACCAACCTCTCATTGAACACAAGGAGTTGGATGGGAGGTTCCAATTCAAATTCACTCATCCATTGGCTGGCCCTCCAAGCTTCTCCTGCCCAACCCTGAGCTCACCACGGTTCTAGGAGGTACAAACATTGATTTCAGACCCCCTGTTACACATTAGTTGGGCATGAAGAGGATTTGCGAGAAGAGGAGCCTGAACTCGATCGAGCTGAGGATCGAGTTGAGGACAACGCTCAGTGAATGCGGATTTGGGTGAGCCTGAGTGCTATTACTTTGAGGAGTATGAGGCTCCAAGGATGAACCCCTCTGTTGTGGCTGCCCACAAGAGGATTGGACTTCTCCAAAGTTCAACAAATGGCAAGGGAAAGCCATTGGAAAAGATGCAAAAGTCCATGGACAAGATGGTGAGCAAGATCAAAGTTTGGAGAAGAAGGTTTCTGGTTCTTCAAGCAAGAAGAAGAAGTCCAAGGCCCCACTTTCCCTAGGAGTATCACTCCTCACCACTCCAAGGAGGCTCCCTGCCCAGAGCCTCACAGAGCCTCTTCATTTCGAGCCAAGGGAAGGAGAAGACAACACGCAGAGAAGGAGGAAGAGTTCCAAGGCCAGACGCTCCAACTCGACCACCGGACTCGATCGAGTCCAAACAGAGGAAACTCAACTCGATCGAGCTCGAGCTGAGGGTCGAGTTGACCTGGAGGAGCCCCTGTTTGAGAACCCTGGATTCGAGTACGATCCAACGCAGTACCAGGACTTCTCTCAGACTCTCTGGACTCCCTACAACCGCTTCGAGCAAGCACAGCTCCTCCAAGGCCAAGGAAGCCACACACATTTGAAGATGAAGAAGAGGAGAAGAGGAGCCGCAAGCTCGATCGAGTGAGCCAACCCAGTCGAGTGGAGTGCTCCTGATGGCCGTCTACCATCTCCAGACCACGACCTAGCCTCCCAGTTCTTTGGGGGGCACTGAGGTATCAAACACAACCCTTGTATATACCATTTCATATTTTCTTGCATTTGTTTTTTTTTTCTTGGTTTTGCCCTCTTGAATCTTTCACTAAATTTTCTCACACAAGGGACTGTGTGATTTAAGTTTGGGGGAGGGTTCAAGAGATGATTTAACCTTGTTTTCTTTGTTCTTAGTTTTTCATTTATCTTTTGCATAGAAAAACCAAAAAAATCATAAAATTTTCAAAAAATCCAAAAATATTTTCATCTTTTTGCATTCATATTTGTTAGACTTGTTTAGGATTGCATCTTTCACTTGCATTGTTGATTTGACTTTGAAAACTTGTTCCATCTTTTGCGATTTCTTGAGTGCCCTGTTTTTAGATTCTTTGTGCATTAGGGTGAGATTGATTGAGCAGCAAGAACCATGTTTATCTTGATCATATCGCTGCATGCACATCTCATTCAACCATTGCTGTGATTTGATGCATTTCCCTATCTATTTGAACCATAACTTGATCTTTAATTACCAATGCTTGCATTTGATTTCAACTCATGGCTACCACATACATATCTGGACATTCTTTACCTATTTTCATATCCCTTTTGCTTGTCCAGATAGCTGATCTCTATCTTTGAGACAGTTACCACACCATAAACCTAAGCCTTTTCATTTCAAACCCCTTATTATCTCTTGTGCGATTGTGAGAACCTTTCTTGGCTTTGCTTAGCATAAGGTGTTGTGTTTAAACCGGCAGGGGCAGTAGTTCTAGTTGTCTAGTTCTCTTGGGATTGTTTTCAGGCTAAGTTTGGGGGTGCCAACTCGAGCTCGATCGAGTTGGGTGTAAAAACCAGAAAAGTGGTAAAAGTTGGGAAAAACCCAAAGGAAAAAGAGTTTAGTTAAGTCCAGGGAGTTGGCAGTGTTTAAAAGGGTCTAGTAAAGGTTTGGGAAGTTAAAAAAGGAAGTAAAAAGGCGAAATGCCAAAAAGGGTAGTTAGGATTTTGTTCTAAAAAGCTCTAAGTGTTGAACTCGATCGAGTTAGGATTAGACGGCTCGAGCTGCTGTTCTTGCATCATCTTTGGTTCTAACACTTAGCCTTCTGCCAAAGCAAAGCCACTTTCTTGAGAGATCCCTGTTACTAAACCACCATACAAAAGAGACCCTCTTTGTCTCTTAACCCATAAACCCTTGAAACCAAATGAGTTGATTGATCTTGCATGTTTTTGGTTCACTGTTTTTGCTTAATGAATGTTAAAGGGATTTGCTGATTTGAATGCATTGTTTGAGTGACTGTGAAGTGGGATTGATGTTGATAAGCATGGTTAAATCTTAATGAATATCTCTCACCTTGTTGCATTCTAGAATCTCTAAGTTGGACATTTAGCAAATCGCTTTTGAGGACATGTTTTTAAGTGTTGAATCAGCTTTTTTCAAACCTCATCTCTTTCTTGTTCTATTTGTTTGCTTGAGGGCAAGCAAAGTTCAAGTTTGGGGGTGTTGATGTACTTGCATTTTACATAGTTTTAGCACATCTTTTATGCATCTTTTGCATAGTTTTAGCTTCCATTTGCATCATATCTTGTTCCTTTTCTCTTCTTATGCATTCATGTTAGTTTTAGGTTGCATTTGCATACATATGCATGTTTGGTCCTTTGAAATAGGTCTTTTGGAGCATTCTGGAGCATATGGGACATGAGGAGCATGGAGGGACTTGGCACATGGAAGCAGCTCAACTGGATACGCAAAGGAAGAAGGGAGAAGCCATCTTGAAGACCAGCTCGACCGTCTACTCGACCAACCGGTCGAGTTCCTCAACTCGACCGGCCAAGCTTCAACTCGATCGAGCTGAGAAGTCAAAGTCAAACCCGAAAAATGTTGCTTCCCCCTTGACTTTCCTTTGACCCTAAACCTAATCCTCTTGTATTTAAAGGCTCTAAGCCACGAAAAAACCACCAAGCTTTAGATTATTTTGTTTTAGTTTCTTTTAATTTATTGTCTTTTACTTTTTAGAGATCTAATCCCATCTTTGTGTTCTTGAAGCTCTTGCTTCTTGAATCTAGATCCTGGATAATCTCTTTGTATTTGCACTTGCTTATTTCAATAAAAGTTGTTTAATTTCATCTCCTCTTTCTTATGATGTCTCTTTTATTGCATTTGCTTGTGTTTACATTCATGTGTAGTGAGTAGTTACCCATTAGGGTTTGAGATGGGATAGATTAGAGGTTTCATATGCTTAATCCTTCTAGCTTATGGTCTTAATCTAGATTCTCTCTCTTTTGGATAGATCTTAAGGCTACATGACCACTACCCCTGGCTTGTAAGTCCTTAGGCGACTCCCCACACGAAAGTGATGGCATTCGCTGGAAAAGATCCACTAAGAGCTCCAATATCTCTTGCTCTAGACAATAGAGGTCTAAGGGGTTGGATGGATTAGTTTGGGCAATGATCCTATAGCCTCCAAGGTTTGATTCTCACTGGCTAACCCCCTGTTTCTGAGATCATTCCTTGGTTGATAGCCTCCACCTTGGGAAAGGGTTGGCTAGGCATTGAGAAGCCCAATATCAAGAGAAGCCTTGATACAAGGAGTTTTAAGAGCTAGATTGATTAAGTGTAGATTCCTTTGATTGCAAAACCCTGTCTTGAACCCTAATTCTCTCTTTATCTTGTTAAAGTCGTCACCTTTAGCTTTGTTTGTCTCAACTCGTCCCTAAACTCGATCGAGCTGGTACTTTGTCTGACTCGACTCGAGCTCTTGGTCGAGCTGACACTTCACTGCTTTGTTTACTTTTATTGCACTGCTTTTCATTTTATTTAGGTTGTTAGTGTTACTTCAAATCTATAACTGCTTGCTTGACTTCCTGGTTGTTTCATATTCTCATAGAGTGACAAGTTTCCCATTTTGGATTGATAACCTCTTATACTTCAATGACTATGATGGTTAAGAGGAATTGATTGATTGTGATTGCACCATTTCATCTTTATTCACCCCTGTTTGCATTCCACCTCATATTTCATCTTCATTCATATCATATCACATCCACGTAAAATCCTATCATCACCTTTCCAACGATTTCCATCACTTCCATGTGGAGAATCGTCTATGGACATACAAGCCAGGGATAGTGGTCATGTAGCCTTAAGGTTTGTCCAAAAGAGAGAGATTTCTAGATTAAGAACATAAGCAAGAAGGATTAAGCATAAAAATCCTCTAATCTATCCCATCTTTGACCCTAAGGGAAACTACTCACTACACATGAATGTAAACACAAGCAAATGCAATAAAAGAGACATCATAAGAAAGAGGAGATGAAATTAAACAACTTTTATTGAAATAAGCAAGTGCAAATACAAAAGAGATTATCCAGGATCTAGGATTCAAGAAGCAAGAGCTTCAAGAACACAAAGATGGGATTAGAGCTCTCAAAAGTAAAAGACAATAAATTAAAAGAACTAAAACAAAAAGTAATCTAAAGCTTGGTGGTTTTTTCGTGGCTTTTAGCCCTTAAATACAAAGAGGATTAGGTTTAGGGTCAAAGGAAAGTCAAGGGGGAAGCAACATTTTTCGGGTTTGACTGTTGACTTCTCAGCTCGATCGAGTTGAAGCTTGGCCGGTCGAGTTGAGGAACTCGACCGGTTGGTCGAGTAGATGGTCGAGCTGGTCTTCAAGATGGCTTCCTCCTTCTTCCTTTGCGTATCCAGTTGAGCTGCGTCCATGTGCCAAGTCCTCCATGCTCCTCTCGTCCCATATGCTCCAGAATGCTCCAAAAGACCTATTTCAAGGATCAAACATGCATATGTATGCAAATGCAACCTAAAACTACTATGAATGCATAAGAAGAGAAAAGGAACAAGATATGATGCTAATGGATGCTAAAACTATGCAAAAGATGCATAAAAGATGTACTAAAACTATGCAAAATGCAAGTACATCAACACCCCCAAACTTGAACCTTTGCTTGCCCTCAAGCAAACAAATAGAACAAGAAAGAGATGAGGTTTGAAAACAAGTTGATTCAACACTTAAAAACATGTCCTCAAAAGCGATTTGCTAAATGTCCAACTTAGAGATTCTAGAATGCAAGTACATCAGGTATCATTTTATTTTTTCTATTGACCCTTCTATCAATCACAGGATAAGTCTTTAGCTTGTTCCTTGTTTGAATAAGGTATTCCATAAGACATGAAGGTACAGACATATGCATTCCTCATGCTTACTTGTTTTCCTTGTGCTCTTAGAGCTTTTCTCAAAAGTATTTCTTTCCTTAGGGATGGGAGAGAGAGGAGAACTGCTTTAAAGGTTAGACAAATCTTATTGAAAATCAAGCAAGGAACTGTCGACATGTATGCCAATCCCCTTGACAAGAGTATTAAGATTGATTAAGGGTGAGGTTAACTCTAGATTGCTTGGTTACCTTAGAAATTTTGCTGAGCTAGCATGTCGATCCACTGTAAGAGCTTCTGTTAGGCTTGTGCCTTTAGCTGGTTTCTGCTCTAGGGTCATGGATTGTTAGCACAACACTATCAATTCTCAAAGCAAGTTCATAACTTCCGGACTGGTTTTTGACTCAATAAAACAAAAACATGAAATGAAACATAATAAAACAAAGAAAAATGCATTAGTAACACAATAAAACTCCCCCCAGACTTAACTTGCACCGTCCCGGTGAAAGCAAATCACATTAAGGTGAGAGGTAATATTCAAAGTAAAAGAAAAATAAAGAAAAATTCATTAAAATGAGATAGGGATAGAAAATGGAGATTTGTAAGTGTCCATTGCACTAAGTACCACTTGAGATGACTATGTGTGGCAGTGAGAAGAACTCTCTTCCTCATCTATGGGGTCATCGCCTTCTGAACCAAGCTCTGAGTCTAGTGAGAACTCACCAAGGTCAGGCTCATATGGCTCTCTAGCGGTGGAAGAAGGGCGAAAGAGTCTCTCCGGTGCAATGTGGCGAACTACACGAACTAGGCGTGAGATGAAGCGAGATTGGCACTCCACATCTTCTCCAGCTTGTTCACACGGTCTAGAGCTTGGTTCGCGGCCATGCCAGTAGTGAGAACATGGCGTTCTTGGTGGCGGCGTTGAGTCTTGACTGCGCTGAAGTGTGCGATAGGTGAGCATGGGGAATGATGGTTTCTCACTTGATGGAACATAGAAGTCTTCCTCATTGGGCTGGAAAGTGACAACACCTGAGCGTAGGCTTGGGATATCTTCATGTGGCAGCAAGACAAGGGAAGTGTTGGCTGGACCAATTGGAAACTCATAGCAAAACCGAGTTGGGTTTTAGTCCAACGGTTTAGGAAGTGGATTGCTGAAGGGCATGGAGATCCAAAGGGATTGGCTTGGGTAGTGGCTCATAGTTGGGAATGTCAATCCCCACATGTTGCACTATGGCTGTGATAAGCCTCCCAAAACGAACACAAAGCTTCTTGTTGCCTTCCAAGTCTTTGAGCTAGCTTCCTCACATTGATGATGTCTTTGCAAGTAAAAGACCAAGGTTGGCCTTGTACTCATGCTTGATGAATGGTGTGGTGAGGATGTAGAACTCATCAGTTGTGACCTTGTTGGCTTCTTGTTTGCATTGGAAAGTGGTGGAGATGAGGCGGTGCACATAGCGAATGGCTGGATGAGTGATTCTAGACACCTTTGATCTTGAAGGCAAGAATGGTTCATTGGCAAAGTGTGTCCAATCAGCAAAGGCAGCTTGTTTCCTCTTTGAGTTCTCCTTGAAGTCATGTGCTGTCTCATTGGGAAGTCCAAAGAGTTGGCATAGAGCTGAGATGGAGATGCGCCCATTGGCATCGCCTATCTTGAAGAGTAGGAGTCCATCACCAGCTGGTTGGTCTCCATTGTGGTTGGGAAAGGCAAGAGCTACTGTGGAGAGGAACTCCTTGGTGAGTAGTGAGTACTCACTACATCTAGCTTGAAGAGCTTGCTCAAGCCTAGCTTCCTTATGTACCATGTGACATCATCTCTTATCTTGAGAAGATCAAGGGTTTGGGTGTCCATCTTCACACAAGGTTCGATGTTCACCTTCTCCATTGCCTTCTTGCACTTTCTTGGGTCTTGGACTTGTTCTCCAACAAACTGACAAGTGCCCAATCATCTTCTCTTCTTGGACTCTCCACATGTTCTTGACTTGCATCAATGGAATGTGGTGAAGTTGGTATTGCTGCTCTTGCATTGGAGCTACTACTCCCTAGCTTGATTTGTTTCTTTGGTGGTTGCATGAATGGGATCTTCTTCTTCTTCATACTTCATTTCCTTTTGTCCTTGCCATTGGGTACCTACAAGAGCAAATTCTTGGGAAGAGACATGAGTTTGTGATTAAATGCATAAGAAAGATAAGTTAATTGAGTTGCAATAATGATATGGTATAATCAAACAACTTAAGGCTTGATCAATATCAAAGAAACAAAATGGAAATTTTATTTTTCAAAATTAATTTCGGATTTTACTGTTCATCTCAAGATTATGGTGCATAAAATCGAAATTTTTAGCAAATCAAGAGAAATTGAGTTTCTAATCCATGTAGTCACTGAATAAACCAATGAAATGAGGTATGACTAAACAATTTCACTTTTGAATAAAGGGTTTGGAATACCCAATAAGTTTTGTGAAAAACCATTCAATTGTGAAATTAGACTCTAAATATCTCTAAACCACCTAGGTTCCACCTAGCTAAGTTCATTACAAGACTCATAAGAATAGTAATTTCAAGTTTAGACAAGAGTTTAGACCAAACAAGAAACTATTGTGAATTTCGATCTTGCAAAAATATGAGATTAGAGTTTAAAAGACATACCTTGTGTATTGAAAAGTGAATATGGGAGGAAAGAGCAAGCAAATCCAAGTTTAAAAGTTATAAACAGTTTAGACGAGTTTAGACCAAACAAGAAACTATTGTGAATTTCGATCTTGCAAAAATATGAGATTAGAGTTTAAAAGACATACCTTGTGTATTGAAAAGTGAATATGGGAGGAAAGAGCAAGCAAATCCAAGTTTAAAATTTATAAACAGTAAAAGTTTTGTATTAGAGCTTCTCTAATGGAGTTTGGGGTTTTAGAAAAGAAAGAGAGGTTCTTGTTCTTTTCAAGGGAAAGGTAAAGTTATAAAGATCAAATTCCAATTAATATTTCCTTTTCAAATTCGAATTTAGCTTGAAAATCGGTTTAAATTAGTTTAGGATTGATTAAAACCGGTTTGAATCTATTGAAAAAGTGGACTTACCTTGGCCGAGAAAAGTTTGGCCGATGGTCGATGGATTTCGTTTTGATCGTGCGGTTTGGTCGGCCAAATCATCGAACGGACGTGAAATCTGGCCGAGGGAGAACGCATGCTTCCCGGATCGACCGGTACGGTCGGTCCGTTCCGATTTTCTATTCAGCCGAGCGCATTGCGCGGACGGGTTTTGTCGTGCAAAGTTATCGTCCGGCCGAGCATGAGCAGTTCCTTCCCTGATCGACCGGCAAGGTCGGCCTGGATGGAAAATTACTCGGCCAAAACTTCTTTTGCGCGTCTGCGGCCGATGTTTCGACCCGGATTGTGTTTTTCACACCTTTTTCTCCTTCTATCCTATCTTAAAACAAAGAAAACACAAAAACTAAACAAAAACTAAGAAATCTAAAGAAACAAAAGTAAAGGTACCTCATGGGTTGCCTCCCATGCAGCGCTTGTTTTAAGTCTTTAGCTTGATTGTAAGGTTTGGCGCTCAAGAGAAGATGGAGACTAGAGGTATCCTTGATCCTCCAAGTCTTTTCTCCTCAAGATGAGCATCTGGTGGGTGATTCACAGTTGGATAGACAATCTCTCCATGAATGTCCCTTGGCACAAATGCCTTAGGAAAAAGTTGTAGAGTTCTTGTAACTTTCTCCTTGAATCCTTCTAGATTTTTATCAATAAGGTCCTTTGGGAAGAGAAGCTTCATGTTGCGGCCAGATCGAGGCTTTCTCACCTTCCTTCTTGGTTTGGCCTCATCTTCAATCTTGGATGATCCCTTGGGCGGTTTTGGTGTAGGGGCCTTAGTCTTACTCCCTTAGCTCGGTTGGACTCCTTCTCTGGGTATATCTCTTCAGGCCAAATCATGCAATCAACAGTAGGTTTTGAAAGCATCCATTCTGGTACTTGATCTTCAAATCTTCCTTCTATGGCGGCTGAGTTGCAAAAGGACTTCTTGGATAGTCCATCTTCTCATACATCTCTTTGCTATTCCTTTTCTGGCCATCCATGATCTGTTGGAGGATTCCTTCAAACCTTCCTCCTTGTTGGTTTGGAAGAGCTTGATTTGGTGAAGAAGCATATGGCTCCTTGGGCGGATATGATGTTCGCTGCTCATATCCCTGCCTTGGCTGAAATTGACTTCCATGAGATTGGTAAAGAGGTCTTTGCTGCTGTGGGTATCTTGGAGGATACACTTGGTCTTGAGGGTTCTCCACATTGGGGTTTCTATAAGACATGTTGGGGTTTGGGCGATAGCTTGGATTGTATCCCTTGTTCCCATAGTTTCCAATGTAGTTCACATCTTCTTCATTAGCTTCATTAGAGAAATCTCTCATGCATTCTCTTGATGGGTCTTCATTTGCATCACTCATCCCTTCTATTGCATTGATATGCTTGAGCTGTCCCTTAAGAACTTGAGCCATCATGTTCTTGAGTTCAGCCATTTGAGAAACGTCAGGGGAGCTAGTAGTGGTGCAGCTTGAGCGATCATAATCAGGACAATTGTTACAATCACTAGCTGCAAGATTCTCAATAAGAACCTTAGCGTCATCAATTGTCTTGGTCATGAAGTTTCCATTGCTTGCAGTATCCAATGAAAGCTTGTACTTGTGGTCTATGCCACGATAGAAGATATTCCATAGGTATCCCTCCTTGAAACCATGATTAGGGCAGTCCCTAATATACTCCTTAGTGGCTTGGCGAAAGTTAGAGATCTTGTTCCTTACAGAAACTGATCTTTGCTTGGTGTAGAAGTGGTTAATGAAGACGGCCTTGTACTCATCCCAAGTGGTAATGGAGTGAGCTGGCAGAGACTTCAACCATCTTGAAGCTTTGTCGCCAAGAGAGAATGAAAAGAGCTTGCACTTCAAGTAGTCAGCTGAGACTCCATTGGATCTAGTAGCGCTACAGATCTCTTCAAATTTTTCTATGTGATCAAGAGGATGTTCGGCTGGAAGGCCATTGAATTGGGTCTATCTAACCAATGCTATGATTTGAGGCTTGATCTCATAGTCATTCCTTGCAGGAAGTGGTGGATGGATAGGGTTTCTATCCGTGAAGAAGGCATCGGCAGAGTCATAGTCTCCGATTGTTTGAACGTCGGCTTGAGGTTGCACATTGACATCCCCAGCAGGATCTTGTGGATTAGGAGGAGGAGGTGGATCTCTTCCTTCTTCATTAGCTCGAGCTACTTCGGCGGCGTGCGCGCGAGCTGCTTCGTCGGCCATCTCTTGGGCTTTTTGCTTCCTAAGTAACTTCTCGAGCTTGTCTATCTCCGGATGTTCAACTAGGTTGTCCTTATTAGACCTCCTAGTCATGCACCTGAAAAGATTCTAGGAAGCAAAAGGGTTCAGAAATCTTCTCCAAACTGTATAATAGAGGTTCGAAATCTTCTCCCTCAGAAACAATGAAAAACTCTGAAAAACGGCGTATCACAACTCTTGGCACACCAAACCGAGGGAAGATCACTGACTTGAACATCTTCGGGACGACCTTTGCATCATTAGTGGGAATGGCCAAAGCCTCTACCCACTTAGATACATAGTCGACAGCCACAAAAATGTATAGGTTTCCATAGGAAGATGGGAAAGGTCCCATGAAGTCAACTCCCCACACATCGAAAACCTCTACTTCCAAAATGAAGTTCTGTGGCATCTCATTTCTCTTACTGATGTTCCCCTGTCTCCGGCATACATCACTTAGACACGAATCTGTGTGCATCTCGGAACATGGTGGGCCTACTGGGAGGAGACTATTACCTACTGCGATTCCTCCGAAAAGGGCAGGCAAGGAGAAAGCCGACGAGAACCAGGAAGATGAAACTGAAGTCGATCGAGCTGCTTCTAACGGAGTTGATCGATCTGGTGATGATGCCTCGTCGTCTCAAAGACCCAATCTTGAATCCGACCTACCTACTCCTGCATCTGCAGAGACTGCTCCAGCCAGAGCTTACACTCCTAAGGTACCTTACCCTGTTCCACGGAAGAAGTCCAGAAAAGACTTGGAGGATGCAAAGTGTAAGGAGATGTTGAAGGACTTGACTGTGAAGCTGCCCTTGTCTGATGTTGTTCAGATGATTCATGCTCTGAAGAATTACATGAAGGAGCTGATATCTGGGAAAGTAGCTAAGGATGAAAATGTCATGCTAGTGTCACAGGAGTGCAGCGCTGTGTTGCAGAACAAGGTTATCAAGAAGGGGAGCGATCCAGGAAGATTTGTCTTGTCAGTGTAGATAGGCCGCATGACCTTCGCATGCTCTCTTTGCGATCTTGGCTCGAGCTTGGCTAGTTCCTAAGAAAGGTGATATAATTGTTGTTAAGAATGATAGGAATGAGCTGATACCTACTAGAACTGTCACTGGTCATTTCATGTGCATTGATTACCGGAAACTAAATGCTGCAACTCGCAAAGATCATTTTCCCCTCCCGTTTATTGATCAAATGCTTGAGAGATTGGCTAACCATCCATACTACTGCTTTTTAGATGGTTACTAAGGTTTCTTTCAGATCCCCATCCACCCAGACGACCAGGAGAAGACGACATTCACATGTACATATGGCACTTATGCTTATCGCAGAATGCCGTTTGGACTGTGCAATGCACCGGCCACGTTCCAGCGGTGCATGATGTCTATTTTCACTGACCTTATTGAGGACATAATGGAAGTTTTCATGGACGACTTTTCCGTCTATGGAAGCTCCTTTGCTGTGTGTTTGTCTAATCTGTGCAGGGTATTGCAGCGGTGTGAGGAGAGACATCTTGTGCTGAACTGGGAGAAATGCCACTTCATGATGAGAGATGGGATCGTGCTGGGACATAGGATTTCAGAGAAGGGAATCGAGGTTGACAAAGCAAAGATCGAGGTGATTGTCCATACTGATCACGCTGCCTTGAAGTACTTGCTGACGAAGAAGGATGCGAAGCCGAGACTCTTGAGATGGATTCTTTTGCTTCAGGAGTTCGATCTGGAGATAAGGATAAGAAAGGGATTGACAATGGTGTAGCTGATCACTGTCAAGGATGAAGATCGATGATGACGTCCCTCTAGATGACAGCCTACCTGATGAGCACATCTACGCTGTTGAGGTGATCGACTACGGCGAGCCCCTGCTCGCAGATGACGGAGTCGATCGAATGCTGACGGAGGTCGATCGAATGGGATGACGGAGATCGTACTATGAGCTGTAACGCCGTTGACCATCCAGTTTCCCATGGTTTGGAGAGATAGCGAATTACCTCGCTGCTGAGCATGAACCTACTGGTTTTGTGGGGAACAAGAAGAAGAAGTTCCTGAGAGACATAGGCGCTATTTCTGGGATGAGCCATACCTGTACAAGCACTGCACCGATGGAGTCTACAGGAGATGTGTAGCTGATGAGGAGATACCTGGGATCTTGTTCCACTGTCATAGCTCGTCTTATGCTGGACACTTCGCCATACAAGACTGTATCCAAGGCACTGCAAGCTGGCTACTGGTGGCCCACCATGTTCCGAGATGCACACAGATTCGTGTCCAAGTGTGATGTGTGCCAGAGACAGGGGAACATCAGTAAGAGAAACGAGATGCCACAGAACTTCATTCTGGAAGTAGAGGTTTTGTGTGGGGAGTTGACTTCATGGGACCCTTCCCATCTTCCTATGGAAACTGTACATTTTGGTGGCTGTCGACTATGTATCTAAGTGGGTAGAGGCTTTGGCCAGTCCTACTAATGATGCAAAGGTCGTGATGAAGATGTTCAAGTCGGTGATCTTCCCTCGATTTGGTGTGCCGAGAGTTGTTATCAGTGATGGAGGTTCCCATTTCATCAATATAACCTTCGATAATATGTTGAAGAGGCACGGGGTGAAGCACAAGGTGGCGACTCCTTATCATCCCCAGACGAGTGGTCAAGTGAGCTATCTAACAGAGAAATCAAGAACTTTGCTGATACCGACATCACAGAGAGGGAATCTGTTCCTCTTAGTGATCCATCTCCTGCCTAATGGGCATTCAAGTCAAGCTAGTGACTTAAACCAAGCGTTTGGTGGGAGGCAACCCACTAGTAAGTGTACATTCTCTGTTTTCAATTTGATTTCCTACTAATTTTGTTTTCTTTGTTTTGAAAAAAATAATAATAATAATAATAATAATAATTAGGAAACGGGTCGACCCGCCCACAGATCGACCCACCCATCTGGTCGACCCGCTCGACCCGCCCGACCCGGCCATTGTACACACCCACCCGCCCGCCGACCGCTGGGACCCACCAGGTAAGTGATTTCAGGTAAGTGGAAATTCGATCACTCATTTACTCTCTCTCACCTCACCTCATCCAATCGTTCCTATCTCCCCATATCTTATCCCCTAAACTTTTCTTTCCCTCTTCTTCACCACCGAAACCTCTCCCTCACCATTTCTTCTCTCATCTCTTATCTCTCACCTCATTTCTCTCTCGCGCTCTCTTTTTCTCTTCTTCTTCTCTCATCGCTCACTTTCACTCTCTCATCACTTCACCATCTCCACCTCACATCACCTCTCTCGTGCACTACACACACCTCCATCTTTGACGGAATTCGGTCGACACCCTCGATTCACTCAACACACTATCCATTCGATCGAATAGTTTCTCTACCCCACTCGATTGAGTGATTTCTGCATTTTCCCTTGCACCGATTTGGCATCATGAGGAGTGGAAGGTAACACCTCGAACTCTTTTACTTTTTGGGATTTATGTGGTTCATAATTCGCTATTCAAGATGGTCTTTTGATTGTGTGTTCTTGCGCCTTAACGGAACTTAATCACGGTGGGTCAGTGCGTTCGCTAGAGCTTAAGATAGTATTCGATCGATTTTGATGTTGGTTCGTTTGGGACTCGATCGACTGTGTTGTGCTTACGAACTCGATCAGATACTTACATTGCTTGTGTATAGTCGACAAAACTAGTTTGACAGCGATTGTTTCGATCGTTTGAACCTCGTTACTTGATTGACCGCATTTTTTGATGCCGTTAGAGCTTATGTCCAATTTGATCGACCGCATTTTTGGTTATATAGAAATCGATCGATTTTGATGTTGGTTCGTTTGGGAGTCGATCGATTCGTGGTTGATAGTCGGTCGAATTGGATATTTTATTGCTGGGCTAACTTGTTCTATCTTTTCTGACTTTCAGGAACAGAGGCGATTACTCACGCCGGCGTGAAGATATAGCGAGAGGGAAGAGACCCGTCTTNTGAGATCGTACTATGAGCTGTAACGCCGTTGACCATCCCAGTTTCCCATGGTTTGGAGAGATAGCTAACTACCTCGCTGCTGAGCATGAACCTACAGGATCGTAGGGAACAAGAAGAAGAAGTTCCTGAGAGACATCAGGCGCTATTTCTGGGATGAGCCATACCTGTACAAGCACTACACCGATGGTGTCTACAGGAGATGTGTAGCTGATGAGGAGATACCTGGGATCTTGTTCCACTGTCATAGCTCATCTTATGCTGGACCCTTCGCCACATACAAAACAGTATCCAAGGCAATGCAAGCTGGCTACTGGTGGCCTAACATGTTCCGAAATGCACAAAGGTTTGTGTCCAAGTGTGACGTGTGCCAGAGACAGGGGAACATAAGTAAGAGAAACGAGATGCCACATAACTTCATTCTGTGTGGGGAGTCGACTTCATGGGACCCTTCCCATCTTCCTATGGAAATCTGTACATTTTGGTGGCTGTCGACTATGTATTTAAGTGGGTAAAGGCTTTGGCCAGTCCTACTAATGATGGAAAGGTCGTGATGAAGATGTTCAAGTCGGTGATCATCCCTCGATTTGGTGTGCTGAGAGTTGTTATTAGTGTTGGAGGTTCCCATTTCATCAATAGAACCTTCGATAATATGCTGAAGAGGCACGGGGTGAAGCACAAGGTGGCGACTCCTTATCATCCCCAGACGAGTGGTCAAGTAGAACTATCGAACAGAGAAATCAAGAACTTTGCTGATACCGACATCACAGAGAGGGAATCTGTTCCTCTTAGTGATCCATCTCCTGCCTAATGGGCATTCAAGTCAAGCTAGTGACTTAAACCAAGCGCTTGGTGGGAGGCAACCCACTGGTAAGTGTACATTCTCTGTTTTCAATTTGATTTCCTGCTAATTTTGTTTTCTTTGTTTTGAAAACAAATAATAATAATAATAATAATAATAATTAGGAAACGGGTCGACCCGCCCACAGATCGACCCACCCATCTGGTCGACCCGCTCGACCCGCCCGACCCAGCCATCGTACACACCCACCCGCCCGCCGACCGCTGGGACCCACCAGGTAAGTGGAAATTCGATCAATCATTTACTCTATCTCACCTCACCTCATCCAATCGTTCCTATCTCCCCATATCTTATCCCCTAAACTTTTCTTTCCCTCTTCTTCACCACCGAAACCTCTCCCTCACCATTTCTTCTCTCATCTCTTATCTCTCACCTCATTTCTCTCTCTCTCTCTTTTTCTCTTCTTCTTCTCTCATCGCTCACTTTCACTCTCTCATCACTTCACCATCTCCACCTCACATCACCTCTCTCGTTCACTACACACACCTCCATCTTTGACGGAATTCGGTCGACACCCTCGATTCACTCAACACACTATCCATTCGATCGAATAGTTTCTCTACCCCACTCGATCGAGTGATTTCTGCATTTTCCCTTGCACCGATTTGGCATCATGAGGAGTGGTAGGTAACACCTCGAACTCTTTTACTTTTTGGGATTTATGTGGTTCATAATTCGCTATTCAAGATGGTCTTTTGATTGTGTGTTCTTGCGCCTTAACGGAACTTAATCACGATGGGTTAGTGCGTTCGCTAGAGCTTAAGATAGTATTCGATCGATTTTGATGTTGGTTCGTTTGGGACTCGATCGACTGTGTTGTGCTTACGAACTCGATCAGATACTTACATTGCTTGTGTATAGTCGACAAAACTAGTTTGACAGCGATTGTTTCGATCGTTTGAACCTCGTTACTTGATTGACCGCATTTTTTGATGCCGTTAGAGCTTATGTCCAATTTGATCGACCGCATTTTTGGTTATATAGAAATCGATCGATTTTGATGTTGGTTCGTTTGGGAGTCGATCGATTCGTGGTTGATAGTCGGTCGAATTGGATATTTTATTGTTGGGCTAACTTGTTCTATCTTTTCTGACTTTCAGGAACAGAGGCGATTACTCACGCCGGCGTGAAGATATAGCGAGAGGGAAGAGACCCGTCGTATCTGACGACGACTTCGTGGAGGAATTGACCATGCAGGATGCTCCTTTTCCTGAGACCCTGCGAGATGACGAGCCCGATGATACACTGACGGAGATCGAGATGCTGCGTCTCCGCAGCCTCCTCGACATGAGGTTTGGCGGGACGCGGTATGCAGATAGTGACACGATGCAGACGCTCCGCATCGCCGAGGACGTCGACGAGATGTTCACCAACGTAGGGATCGGTCGACTCATGTACCAGAAGCACAAGTCTTATCGGAAGGCGACTTGCCTCTTACTCGCCGCATTCACAGACCATCCTTGCGACGCCGGCAAGTCTACACCTGACGGCAGCGACGGATACATTAGCTTTTGGGCTACGGGACGGAGGCACTACCTCTCATACCGTGAGATCGACCGATCTCTCTCTCTACCGCCGGGCAACAGCCACGGTCTCGACGTCGACCGCGACAAGATGACCGCACTCTGGGGGACGATCGCGTTTGGGGATTACTTCTCCTCAACCACGAAGTCCTCTCACATCCGGAGCCCGCCGATCCGCTACATTCAGAAGGCGATCGCCAACACGCTCTTCTCGCGCCATGCCACTGGGAACGTCACAGAGACGGAGATGGCCATGATCGACGTGGCACTCACAGGCATCCGGTTAAGACTGATCAACGGGACCCAGCTCACAGGCAGCAGATCACACGGAGGCATCACGCTCGCGCTTGTGAGCCAGCTCCGCTCTTACCAGGATTGGGCGTCGAGGAACAGAGGCATCCGGCACAAGTGCACATTGCGGATGGGCGGCTTGGTCACACCTCTCCTACGCGTCGTTGGTTTCACGGCTGATTGGGAGGAGGAGGTCGCACCACCCGAGGGGCTCGACATCGAGTACCTGAGGAACAGCGTCTTCCTGCAGAAGACGTCAGACGACAGACAGCTCCTCTACCAGTTCGTTCACGTTCAGCTCGGCGCTTCCCGCATGTTACTTCCCAGCCCCAGCTGGACCACGATCAGAGGAGGGTCCAACGTCGAGTTCAACCCACCTCAGTCCGCTCTTTACACTGGAGATCGACCGTCCGTCAGAGACTACGCCACACCTCCGGCGACCACACACCGCGGTGATTGGTCACACGCAGAGCTTGACACCACGCAGACGGACGAGCTCGACCATCTCCACTTCGCGGGCTACACTACCACTGCCAGACAGAGCGCCGGACTGAAGGCGGCTCACCAGCACATCAGCATTCTCCTGCGGTGGAACAAGGCGCAAGACAAGATCACCAGCAAGCTCAAGAGCAAGGTGAAGAAGATGGCCGATCAGATCCGTGCCATGCATGACGAGCTGAGTTGTGTTGCCTCAGCTTCAGGAGGTGTACAGAGGACCGCAGTCGGTCCACGCCAGGCGGACCTCTCCGAGGATGACGAGCCACACCACGACACCACTGGAGGTCGGCCACTACCCCCTGACCCGCCACGTCACTCCTCTTTCGAGCCGCGTCAGCAGCGCAAGAGGCGCCACGGAGAGCAACAGACTGCGAGACCATCAGGCGCACGAGCTGACGCCGACTTGCCATTCAGGCGATGCAGGTCTGTCTCCAGACAGACGGCTCCGACGGATCATCACACTCCGCCGACGAGGGCTCCACCGGACCAGTATGTGCCGTACAGCACAGAGGGAGCTGCGCCTACCACCATCCCTCCATAGACGCAAGAGGACCTCGACGACCTCATTCACGGACGTCGCTGATGCTCTTCTCACCTCCACTCGACCGATCACCACCACTGTATCATTCCATTTTCCCTTTTCTTTTTCTTTTATTGAGTTTGTTTAACTCTCTCTTTGATTTATTTTCACATTGGGTCGGTGTGAAGTAAGTTCGGGGAAGAGTCTTTGTGTTTACTAACGTCTTTTTCTTTCTTTTGTTTTCTGTTTCACCTTGAGTCATTTTGATGTTTTCTTTGAGTCAGGTTTTATTGAGTCAAAAACTTGTTGGGAATAATGAACTTATCTGATGAAACCATTTGTGCTCTTGAATTCTTTCTATCTAGTGACCAATTTTGCAGGGTTTGTTATGTGTAAAAAGCTGGATTACCCTTTTGGAATTTTCGTTTTCCAGAGATTTTGGTGAAACATTTGGTTGACTCTAATGCTATTGGACCACTAATCTGACATCAATTACTTCTCATTCGGAATGTCATAGCAGGGAAACGGACCATACACTCATGACTTCTTATTCATTTTACCACTCTTTGTTGATCCTGAGTGGCCAGCCAATTTTTGGTTGGTACCCCACCTTGAGCCTTACCTCCTTTCTGACTTCATGCACTCTGTTCTTTTGTGTCATATATGCAGATATGTGCAAAAACGTCGGAGAGAAAGGTTCGACACAGCTTCCCAACCACATTCAAGACGAGTGTTCATCTATAACACTGAGAATGGGAAGTGATGATGGAGAATGGGCATGCCTGAATCGATCGAACTGGTGGTCATTCCTTGGAGAAGCACGAATACACGGTAACATTTACGAGCCTTTGACACGAGATCGAACCGCTGTTTTCACAGTTTGGAGAAGATTTCTGAACCCTTGTTTTGCTATTTTCGTATTTTGATTCAATGACATTCAATTCAGTATTTGTTTGCTGTTTCACCATGTCTGAGTAGTCACCTTGCTAGATCTAGGTTTTTCAAAGGGATTCATGTGTTAACTAGACTGAATACAGATAGGGCTTTCATACTGTCTTCACCACTGTTAAACTTACTGCTTAGATCGATTTGATCACTCGATCTCTGATCTCAGATTTACCTGTTCATCAAAAGTGAAATAAGTTGTTAGAACAAACTGTGGGGAGCGAATCGTCCTTAGCCTGCGAAAGTTGATGCTAAGGCGATTCGTGAACATATCGAACCTGTGCGCATTGCTTGTCATCAATTGCTAGATTCAAACGACAGTTTAGACATCTAGGTTGTTAGACAAAGTTGTTATTATCACGACAGTGAATTGACATATTGTTCTGTTTGAGTTCGAGACCTGTTCTTTATCTGTGCCATGAATAGTTGTTTGGTTGTTAACCGTGAATCTCCTGCGAATTGCCTTGGTCTAGTGCTTGTTTTATTAAGTTTACATCAACGTTTACAATCCGTCACTTGTTACCAAATCAATCAATTTTGTCTTAGCTCGTTTTGAATCTCCTAGATTCATAGTGTAACGCTGGTCCTCTGGATTTCGAATCCTTTATATTACAATTTCATCACTGTTAATTTGCAGTAGAGAAAATGATCTATTTCTAGTTTATCAATACTTCCGCGATCTGTGCACTTGCAGAGGTCTAGGAGTTTGGTAAAACCTGACTCCATCAAGTTTTTGGCGCCGTTGCCGGGGACTGCAGCAGTACCTTTGAACTCGACTAGGATCTAGTCTAGAACCTTTTCCTGTTTTACTTGCTTTTGCTTTTGAATTTTCAGTTTTTGATTTCTTTTCTTTGATTTTTGCTTTTGTTTGTTTTTCCCTTTTGATTTAGTTTGTTTCCTAGACTCTTTTCAGGTGCATGACTAGGAGGTCCAACAAGGACAACCTAGTTGAACATCCAGAGATAGACAAGCTCGAGAAGCAACTTAGGAAGCAAAAAGCCCAAGAGATGGCCGACGAAGCAGCTCGCGCTCACGCCGCTGAAGTGGCGCGCGCTAATGAAGAAGGACGAGATCCACCTCCTCCTCCTCCTAATCCACAAGATCCTGCTGGAGATGTGAATGTGCAACCTCAAGCAGCACCAAACAATCGGAGACTATGACTCTGCCGATGCTTTCTTCACGGATAGAAACCCTATCCATCCACCACTTCCTGCAAGGAATGACTATGAGATCAAGCCTCAGATCATAGCATTGGTTAGACAGAACCAATTCAATGGCCTTCCAGCCGAGCATCCTCTTGATCACATAGAAAACTTTGAAGAGATTTGCAGCACTACAAGATCCAATGGAGTCTCAGCTGACTACTTGAAGTGCAAGCTCTTTTCATTCTCTCTTGGCGACAAAGCTTCAAGATGGTTGAAGTCTCTGCCAGCTCACTCCATTACCACTTGGGATGAGTACAAGGCCGCTTTCATCAACCACTTCTACACCAAGCAAAGATCAGTTTCTGTAGGAACAAGATCTCCAACTTTCGCCAAGCCAACAATGAATCTTTCTATGAGGCGCTAGACCGATTCAAGGAGTACATTAGGGACTGCCCTAATCATGGTTTCAATGAGGGAAACCTATGGAACATCTTCTATCGTGGCATAGACCACAAGTACAAGCTTTCATTGGACACTGCAAGCAATGGAAACTTCATGACCAAGACTGTTGATGAAGCTAAGGTTCTTATTGAGAATCTTGCAGCTAGTGATTGTAACAATTGTCCTGATTATGACCGCTCAAGCCGCACCACTACTAGCTCCCCTGATTCTTTTCAAATGACTGAACTCAAGAACATGATGGCTCAAGTTCTTAAGGGACAGCTCAAGCATATCAATGCAATAGAAGGGATGAGTGATGCTAATGAAGACCCATCAAGAGAATGCATGGGAGATTTCTCTAATGAAGCCAATGAAGAAGATGTGAACTACATTGGAAACTATGGGAACAAGGGATACAATCCAAGCTATCGCCCAAACCCCAACATGTCTTATAGAAACCCCAATGTGGAGAATCCTCAAGACCAAGTGTATCCTCCAAGGTATCCACAACAACAAAGACCTCCTTACCAATCTCAAGGAAGTCAATTCAGCCAAGGCAAGGATATGAGCAGAGAACATCATATCCGCCCAAGGAGCCATATGCTTCTTCACCAAATCAAGCTCCTCCAAACCAACAAGGTGGGAGATTTGAAGGAATCCTCCAACAGATCATGGATGGCCAGAAAGAAATAGCAAAGAGATGTATGAGAAGATGGACACTTTGTTCAGCAATCTCAACACCAAGTATGATGCTGTTGCCACTCATGTGAAGAAACTAGAGACTCAAGTCACCAAACTATGGAAGCTGTTAAGAGACAGGAAGCTGAATCCAAGAAGTCCTTTTGCAACTCAGCCGCCATAGAAGAAAGATTTGAAGATCAAGTTCCAGAATGGATGCTTTCAAAACCTACTGTTGATTGCATGATTTGGCCTGAAGAGATTACCCAGAGAGAGAGTCCAATCGAGCTAGAAAGAGAAGACTCTTCCAAAGATTATCCCCAAGACTGATAACTCAGGAAAGTTTGTTGTGCCTTGTATCATCAAAGGTAACATTCTTGAGCAATCTTTGTGTGACACAGGAGCCAATGTGAACATCAGATGATAGGATTTGTGTGTGGATGTGAAAAGATATGAAATGAGATGAGTGGAATGCAATCAGTGGTATATGATGAGGTGGTAAGATGCAAACACAAACACAGTCAACAATTCCCTTTAACCATGATAGTTGATGTAGTACAAAGGGTTATCAATCCAAAATGGGAAACTTGTCACTCTATGAGAATATGAAACAACCAGAAGTCAAGCAAGCAGTTATAGATTTGAAGTAACACTAACAACCTAAATGAAATGAAAAGCAGTGCAATAAAAGTAAACAAAGCAGTGAAGTATCAGCTCGACCAAGAGCTCGAGTCGAGTCAGAGCAAAGTACCAGCTCGATCGAGTTTAGGGACGAGTTGAGACAAACAAAGCTAAAGGTGACGACTTTAACAAGATAAGAGAGAATTAGGGTTCAAGACAGGGTTTTGCAATCAAAGGAATCTACACTTAATCAATCTAGCTCTTAAAACTCCTTGTATCAAGGCTTCTCTTGATATTGGGCTTCTCAATGCCTAGCCAACCCTTTCCCAAGGTGAAGGCTATCAACCAAGGAATGATCTCAGAAACAGGGGGTTAGCCAGTGAGAATCAAACCTTGGAGGCTATAGGATCATTGCCCAAACTAATCCATCCAACCCCTTAGACCTCTATTGTCTAGAGCAAGAGATATTGGAGCTCTTAGTGGATCTTTTCCAGCGAATGCCATCACTTTCGTGTGGGGAGTCGCCTAAGGACTTACAAGCCAGGGGTAGTGGTCATGTAGCCTTAAGATCTATCCAAAAGAGAGAGAATCTAGATTAAGACCATAAGCTAGAAGGATTAAGCATATGAAACCTCTAATCTATCCCATCTCAAACCCCAATGGGTAACTACTCACTACACATGAATGTAAACACAAGCAAATGCAATAAAAGAGACATCATAAGAAAGAGGAGATGAAATTAAACAACTTTTATTGAAATAAGCAAGTGCAAATACAAAGAGATTATCCAGGATCTAGGATTCAAGAAGCAAGAGCTTCAAGAACACAAAGATGGGATTAGATCTCTAAAAAGTAAAAGACAATAAATTAAAAGAAACTAAAACAAAATAATCTAAAGCTTGGTGGTTTTTTCGTGGCTTAGAGCCTTTAAATACAAGAGGATTAGGTTTAGGGTCAAAGGAAAGTCAAGGGGGAAGCAACATTTTTCGGGTTTGACTGTTGACTTCTCAGCTCGATCGAGTTGAAGCTTGGCCGGTCGAGTTGAGGAACTCGACCGGTTGGTCGAGTAGACGGTCGAGCTGGTCTTCAAGATGGCTTCTCCCTTCTTCCTTTGCGTATCCAGTTGAGCTGCTTCCATGTGCCAAGTCCCTCCATGCTCCTTATGTCCATATGCTCCAGAATGCTCCAAAAGACCTATTTCAAAGGACCAAACATGCATATGTATGCAAATGCAACCTAAAACTAACATGAATGCATAAGAAGAGAAAAGGAACAAGATATGATGCAAATGGAAGCTAAAACTATGCAAAAGATGCATAAAAGATGTGCTAAAACTATGTAAAATGCAAGTACATCACCCATTGCTCACCAAATACTAAGTTCGAGATCTAGATTCAGCACTGTCGTGGTTCTATTTCTCTAAGATCAGATTACTAGATGTACGGTAGAGTAATCATGCATTAAGTTCAAGTAAGGTGAAGATCCATAAGATAAATCCCAATAAGTTGCAATCAAATCAAATCATCACGGCCACCATAGATCTCCTCGGCCTAACTAAGAGATCTACTCGGCCATGATGCAAACAAGCAAGCAAAGCATGATTGAAAGCATTATGCAAGTATTGAAAGAGATAAAGGGATGAAGAAAGCTTCTCTATTGATGAACAAAGTCGGATTCTCCCTTGAAACTCTTAAGATCAAGTACAAAGAAATGGAAACAATGAAAACAAGAAGGAACAAAAGTTGAGCGGCGCCTTCTTCTTTTGTGGAGACCAAGTACCCACATGATGACACCATGAAGATCTTGGGATCTTTGAGGATGTGGAGTTGGTGCTCAAGAACATGCAATTGGGGAAGTTCTTCTCTCACCGCATGGAGTCTTACAAGGAGCTCACTTGTGAGTTCTTTGGCGTCGATGAAGCATCACGAGTTTGATGAGCTCGATCGAGCTGAGTTGGACCAAGGCTGGGGGTACATAACTTTCTTGCAAAGGGAGAGAAGAAGATGGTGACCTTTAGGCAGCTTGAGATACTGTTTGGGTTCACTATGGAGAAGGTAACCATGGAACATCAAGGAAGAAGAACTCCAAAGAGTTGGGCTACAATCGCTGAAGAGGGTACTCTTCCTCAAGGTCCAAGGCTGCCAGATCAGGAGTCCTGTGCTTAGATATGTCCACAAGGCTCTTGCCAACACCTTCTTTGCAAGGAAAGCCACTGGACAATCAATGAGGGAGAAGTGAAGCTCCTTGACATGGGAATCAAGCCCATCATCTCACGCACAAGGATGGGAAGAAGATCAGAGGAGATAGGGCACACGCAGGGAATCTCATGCCTCTCCTTGAGCAGCTCCACCTACAAGGTCACAGCTTACAACACTAGGCACCAAAGAGGAAGAAAGCTTAGTGTTGGAGGGGTCATCACACCAATTCTTTGTGCAGCTGGAGTTCAAGTGGACAAGAGAAGGTCTACTCCACCAGGTTGGATGGACATCAAGTTTTGCAAGACCAACCTCCTCATTGAGCACAAGGAGTTGGATGGGAGATTCCAATTCAAGTTCACACCCATTGGCTGGACCCTCCAAGCTTCTTCTGCCCAACCCTGAGCTCACCACGGTCTAGGGGTAGAACATTGACTTCAGACCCCCTGTGTACACTTAGTTGGGCATGAAGCGGATTTGCGAGAAGAGATGAGCTCGATCGAGCTGAGGATCGAGCTGAGATCAGCTGAGGATCGAGTGAGGACAACGCTCAGTGAATGAGGATTTGGGTGAGCCTGAGTGCTATTACTTTGAGGAGTATGAGGCTCCAAGGATGAACCCCTCTGTTGTGGCTGCCCACAAGAGGATTGGACTTCTCCAAAAGTTCAACAAATGGCAAGGGAAAGCCATTGAGAAGATGCAAAAGTCCATGGACAAGATGGTGAGCAAGATCAAAAGTTTGGAGAAGAAGGTTTCTGGTTCTTCAAGCAAGAAGAAGTCCAAGGCCCCACTTTCCCTAGGAGTAGATCACTCCTCACCACCCAAGGAGGCTCCCTGCCCAAGAGCCTCACAGAGCCTCTTCTTTCGAGCCAAGGGAAGGAGAAGACAACACGCAGAGAAGGAGGAAGAGTTCCAAGGCCAGACGCTCCAACTCGATCGAGTCCAAACAGAGGAAACTCAACTCGATCGAGCTGAGGGTCGAGTTGACCTGGAGGAGCCCCTGTTTGAGAACCCGGGTTCGAGTACGATCCAGCACCTACCAGGAGCCTCAGTAGATGGAACCCCTATGGACAGTTCGAGCTAGCCAGCTCCACCAAGGCCAAGGGAGCCACACACTTTGAGATGAAGAAGAGGAGGAAGAGGAGCCGCAAGCTCGATCGAGTGAGCCACAAGAGGCAACCCCAGTTGCATGGAGTGCTCCTGATGGCCGTCTCCCATCTCCAGACCACGACCTAGTCTCCCAGTTCTTTGGGGGACACTGAGGTATCCAAACACCAACCCTTGTATATACCATTTCATATTTTCTTGCATTTGTTCTTGTTTTTTCTTGGTTTTGCCCTCTTGAATCTTTCACTAAATTTTTCTCACACAAGGGACTGTGTGATTTAAGTTTGGGGGAGGGTTCAAGAGATGATTTAACCTTGTTTTCTTTGTTCTTAGTTTTTCATTTATCTTTTGCATAGAAAAACCAAAAAAATCATAAAATTTTCAAAAAATCCAAAAATATTTTCATCTTTTTGCATTCATATTTGTTAGACTTGTTTAGGATTGCATTTTTCACTTGCATTGTTGATTTGACTTTGAAAACTTGTCCATCTTTTGCGATTTCTTGAGTGCCCTGTTTTTAGATTCTTTTGTGCATTAGGGTGAGATTGATTGAGCAGCAAGAACCATGTTTATCTTGATCATATCACTGCATGCACATCTCATTCAACCATTGCTGTGATTTGATGCATTTCCCTATCTATTTGAACCATAACTTGATCTTTAATTACCAATGCTTGCATTTGATTTCAACTCATGGCTACCACATACATATCTGGACATTCTTTACCTATTTTCATATCCCTTTTGCTTGTCCAGATAGCTGATCTCTATCTTTGAGACAGTTACCACACCTTAAACCTAAGCCTTTTCATTTCAAACCCCATATTATCTCTTGTGCGAATGTGAGAACCTTTCTTGGCTTTGCTTAGCATAAGGTGTTGTGTTTAAACCGGCAGGGGCAGTAGTTCTAGTTGTCTAGTTCTCTTGGGATTGTTTTCAGGCTAAGTTTGGGGGTGCCAACTCGAGCTCGATCGAGTTGGGTGTAAAAACCAGAAAAGTGGTAAAAGTTGGGAAAAACCCAAAGGAAAAAGAGTTTAAGTCCAGGGAGTTGGCAGTGTTTAAAAAGGGTCTAGTAAAGGTTTGGGAAGTTAAAAAAGGAAAGTAAAAAGGGTTCTAAGTAGAATGAAAAGAAGGCAAAGCCTCAAGTGTCAAAAAGGAAAGAAAAGTTCCCTAAGTGTTTAGAAAATCCCAAACCGCTAGATGTTACCTCAAGAAGCCTCTCCCTAGGAAGTTCTTAAAAGAAAAGTGAGCAAAGCTCCTCAGTTTCAAAGGCGAAATGCCAAAAAGGGTAGTTAGGATTTTGTTCTAAAAAGCTCTAAGTGTTGAACTCGATCGAGTTAGGATTAGGCGGCTCGAGCTGCTGTTCTTGCATCATCTTTGGTTCTAACACTTAGCCTTCTGCCAAAGCAAAGCCACTTTCTTGAGAGATCCCTGTTACTAAACCACCATACAAAAGAGACCCTCTTTGTCTCTTAACCCATAAACCCTTGAAACCAAATGAGTTGATTGATCTTGCATGTTTTTGGTTCACTGTTTTTGCTTAATGAATGTTAAAGGGATTTGCTGATTTGAATGCATTGTTTGAGTGACTGTGAAGTGGGATTGATGTTGATAAGCATGGTTAAATCTTAATGAATATCTCTCACCTTGTTGCATTCTAGAATCTCTAAGTTGGACATTTAGCAAATCGCTTTTGAGGACATGTTTTTAAGTGTTGAATCAGCTTTTTCAAACCTCATCTCTTTCTTGTTCTATTTGTTTGCTTGAGGGCAAGCAAAGTTCAAGTTTGGGGGTGTTGATGTACTTGCATTTTACATAGTTTTAGCACATCTTTTATGCATCTTTTGCATAGTTTTAGCTTCCATTTGCATCATATCTTGTTCCTTTTCTCTTCTTATGCATTCATGTTAGTTTTAGGTTGCATTTGCATACATATGCATGTTTGGTCCTTTGAAATAGGTCTTTTGGAGCATTTGGAGCATAAGGAGCATGGAGGGACTTGGCACATGGAAGCAGCTCAACTGGATACGCAAAGGAAGAAGGGAGAAGCCATCTTGAAGACCAGCTCGACCGTCTACTCGACCAACCGGTCGAGTTCCTCAACTCGACCGGCCAAGCTTCAACTCGATCGAGCTGAGAAGTCAAAGTCAAACCCGAAAAATGTTGCTTCCCCCTTGACTTTCCTTTGACCCTAAACCTAATCCTCTTTGTATTTAAAGGCTCTAAGCCACGAAAAAACCACCAAGCTTTACTTTTGTTTTTTTTATTTATTGTCTTTTACTTTTTAGAGATCTAATCCCATCTTTGTGTTCTTGAAGCTCTTGCTTCTTGAATCCTAGATCCTGGATAATCTCTCTTGTATTTGCACTTGCTTATTTCAATAAAAGTTGTTTAATTTCATCTCCTCTTTCTTATGATGTCTCTTTTATTGCATTTGCTTGTGTTTACATTCATGTGTAGTGAGTAGTTACCCATTGGGTTTGAGATGGGATAGATTAGAGGTTTCATATGCTTAATCCTTCTAGCTTATGGTCTTAATCTAGATTCTCTCTCTTTTGGATAGATCTTAAGGCTACATGACCACTACCCCTGGCTTGTAAGTCCTTAGGCGACTCCCCACACGAAAGTGATGGCATTCGCTGGAAAAGATCCACTAAGAGCTCCAATATCTCTTGCTCTAGACAATAGAGGTCTAAGGGGTTGGATGGATTAGTTTGGGCAATGATCCTATAGCCTCCAAGGTTTGATTCTCACTGGCTAACCCCCTGTTTCTGAGATCATTCCTTGGTTGATAGCCTCCACCTTGGGAAAGGGTTGGCTAGGCATTGAGAAGCCCAATATCAAGAGAAGCCTTGATACAAGGAGTTTTAAGAGCTAGATTGATTAAGTGTAGATTCCTTTGATTGCAAAACCCTGTCTTGAACCCTAATTCTCTCTTTATCTTGTTAAAGTCGTCACCTTTAGCTTTGTTTGTCTCAACTCGTCCCTAAACTCGATCGAGCTGGTACTTTGCTCTAGCTTGGTCGAGCTGACACTTCACTGCTTTGTTTACTTTTATTGCACTGCTTTTCATTTTTTTAGGTTGTTAGTGTTACTTCAAATCTCTTACTGCTTGCTTGACTTTCTGGTTGTTTCATATTCTCAAAGAGTGACAAGTTTCCCATTTTGGATTGATAACCTCTTATACTTCAATGACTATGATGGTTAAGAGGAATTGATTGATTGTGATTGCACCATACCATTCATCTTTATTCACCCCTGTTTGCATTCCACCTCATTTCATATCACATCCACACAAAATCCTATCATCAATGGGTCATAGCCAACGAAATTTGAGTTATGGTTCATTGTGAACAATTGAATCTTGATCATCGTTAATGCATGTTTTCAATACTAATAGCCAACGAAAGCTGAGTATATTAGGTTTTTTTAAACATAGTGGTTGGAGCCACGACAGTGGGAAGACCATACACTAGTGATTCATGTTCAAGACGGCTCTACACAAATCCCATGCAACTATCTTTTCATCATTGCTCCATATGATCGTCCTTTGCCTAACTCTTGTTTTAAATTGTTTACAACCTCACTCATATTTCCTTTGTTTTGCTTTCTTATTCTAGGACCAAAACCATCCAATATCACGAGCTAGCTACAAACCAATCTCACAAGGTGTTAAGCGAGAACACTTCCTCCTTGTGTTCGACCCCGATTACAACGCGGCTGTGCACTTGCAGCTCAACTAGTTGGGTTTATGAATTGTGAAAATTTGAGGCAATCTAAACCCGCCATCACTTCTCCAGAAATTATGAATTGCTGTACAGTACACAACGCCTAGTTCTCCATGGCAGAATGGTATAGCTGAAAGGTGGAATCGTACTTATTTGGAAATGGTTATATCTATGATGAGTCATGCTAACTTACCTAAATCTTTGTGGATGGACGCATTACGTATTGCAGTCTATATCTTGAACATGGTTCCTAGCAAAGCAGTTCCTAAGACTCCTTTTGAACTGTGGAAAGGCTGGAAACCTAGTCTGAAATACCTCCAAATTTGGGGATGTCCAGCTGAAGCAAGAATATACAATCCACATGAAAAGAAATTAGACTCCAAAACAATTAGTGGTTTCTTTATTGGTTACCCTGAGAAGTCAAAAGGATTTAGGATTTACTGTCCAAACCATAGTACAAGAATTGTGGAAACCGGAAATGCCAGATTCCATGAGAATGGCGAGGTTAGTGGTAGTGATAAAGTTTAAAATGTGATCATTCAGGAAATTAGGGTAAATATCCCTTTACTCTTAACTCCTAATGTTGGTAATTCTCTTGTTGTTGAACCACTTAACAATGAAGATAACCCAGTGAATGATCAACCACTCCATGATGAAAACATCGCTAGTAATGAACTTGTAGTACAAGAGGAACCAGCATTAAGAAGATCAACTCGTGAGAGGAGATCTGCTATTTCTGATGACTACATGCCTTATCTCATAGAATCTGGGGGAGGGAGCATTAAAGACCCGATTTATTATTCACAAGCCATGATAGATGTTAGTTCTGATAAATGGATTGATGCCAATAATGATGAAATAGACTCAATGGTTAACAATGAAGTTTGGGACATTGTTCCATTGCCTGAAGGACACAAAGCAGTTGGGTGTAAGTGGATCTTTAAGACCAAACTCGACTGTAAAGGCATTGTTGAACGATATAAAGCCAGAATTGTAGCCAAAAGGTTTAATCAGAAAAAAAGGCATTAATTATTGTGAGACCTTTTCACCTGTGTCAAGAAAAGACTCTCTCAGAATTATCTTGGAATTAGTAGCTCAGTATGTAGCATGTGATAAGTCCTTAAGAGTTTACACAAGGAGAAAGAAGAAAACGAATACAGAAAAAGGGAATGTTCAAACCGACTTGCTCACAGAGAAAAGGAAGAAGTCGGATTGGGAAGCTCTTGAAGGAAAGGAAAGTCTTTGCTATTGCTTTATTACATATATATTAGTTTATGCTTTACCTAGTTATGCTGAATATTCTAGTTGTGATTTGACCTAGACGCTATGGGTTTGTCAACAAGATCGCTATGAGATCTTGAGAGTGCTTGAATGAGATCGCTATGAGATCTTGAGTGCTTTCTATCCATCTATCTAGTTCTTTCTATCTATCTATCTATTGTAATTGGTGTCATTCTAATAAAGAAGAGGATTTAGGGTTTGGGTTCTTATCAAATTGGTGCGGTGAGCGTGGTTCGAACAGATACGCCGTTAGAGCTTAAGATTTGTAGCAATAATGATGGTTAAGGTGTGCGGTGTGCGAAGAACGGATTACACAACTTGGTGGCTCCTTGGGAAAATTGCATGGCGAAGTCGCCTCAATCAAGGCTGGCTGCGAGAGCATGTCATCACGACTTGGCGTTTTGGAGAAACAGATGACATCAATTGCTGAAACTCTTTCACGCATTGAAGCTATTTCTTTCTCAGATTGTGGTCAAGACAAAGGAATCTCTTTGTCATCACTTTCTCTACCTCAGGTACCTAGTGCTCTTCCTGTGACTGATGGAACTACTAGATGGATAGGTTATCGGAGAATATTTGGTGCTATTGAGAATCAAGAAAGTATGTTAAAAAACGTGGAGATGCCTGTGTTTGATGGTCGTTTGCCGTATGGTTGGATCTCTAGAGTAGAAAGATTTTTTCAATTAGGTCACTATGCAGAGAAAGAAAAGTTGGCATTGGTTGCTCTGCATCTAGAGGGATCAGTGTTGAATTGGTTTTACGGAGAGATGGAGAAAGCACCAATTTCTAATTGGTCACAATTTAGGAACAGATTTCTTGTTCGATTTGCACCGGTCATGAGTTGCTCTCCACCAGTAGTGCTGATGACAAAGTGATAGGCAATGTTCCAATTAGCTCCAAATGACCTGATTAAGACATCAAACATGCATATGTATGCAAATGCAACCTAAAACTACTATGAATGCAAAGAAGAGAAAACATCAAGATAATGATGCTTTGGGTGATGAAACTATGCAAAAGATGCATAAAAGATGGGGCTAAAACCATGTAAAATGCAAGTACATCAACACCCCCAAACTTGACCTTTGCTTGCCCTCAAGCAAACAAATAGAACAAGAAAGAGATGAGGTTTGAAAACAAGTTGATTCAACCTTAAAAACATGTCCTCAAAAGCGATTTGCTAAATGTCCAACTTAGAGATTCTAGAATGCAACAAGGTGAGAGATATTCATTAAGATTTAACCATGCTTATCAACATCAATCCCACTTCACAGTCACTCAAACAATGCATTCAAATCAGCAAATCCCTTTAACATTCATTAAGCAAAAACAGTGAACCAAAAACATGCAAGATCAATCAACTCATTTGGTTTCAAGGGTTTATGGGTTAAGAGACAAAGAGGGTCTCTTTTGTATGGTGGTTTAGTAACAGGGATCTCTCAAGAAAGTGGCTTTGCTTTGGCAGAAGGCTAAGTGTTAGAACCAAAGATGATGCAAGAACAGCAACTCGAGCCCCTAATCCTAACTCGATCGAGTTCAACACTTAGAGCTTTTTAGAACAAAATCCTAACTACCCTTTTTGGCATTTCGCCTTTGAAACTGAGGAGCTTTGCTCACTTTTCTTTTAAGAACATCCTAGGGAGAGGCTTCTTGAGGTAACATCTAGCGGTTTGGGATTTTCTAAACACTTAGGGAACTTTTCTTTCTTTTTGACACTTGAGGCTTTGCCTTCTTTTCTTTCTACTTAGAACCCTTTTTACTTTTTTTAACTTCCCAAACCTTTACTAGACCCTTTTAACACTGCCAACTCCCTGGACTTAACTAAACTCTTTTTCCTTTGGATTTTCCCAACTTTTACCACTTTTCTGGTTTTTGACACCCAACTCGATCGAGCTCGAGTTGGCACCCCCAAACTTAGCCTGAAAACAATCCCAAGAGAACTAGACAACTAGAACTACTGCCCCTGCCGGTTTAAACACAACACCTTATGCTAAGCAAAGCCAAGAAAGGTTCTCACATTCGCACAAGAGATAATATGGGGTTTGAAATGAAAAGGCTTAGGTTTAAGGTGTGGTAACTGTCTCAAAGATGGAGATCAGCTATCTGGACAAGCAAGAGGGATATGAAAATAGGTAAAGAATGTCCAGATATGTATGTGGTAGCCATGAGTTGAAATCAAATGCAAGCATTGGTAATTAAAGATCAAGTTATGGTTCAAATAGATAGGGAAATGCATCAAATCACAGCAATGGTTGAATGAGATGTGCATGCAGTGATATGATCAAGATAAACATGGTTCTTGCTGCTCAATCAATCTCACCCTAATGCACAAAAGAATCTAAAAACAGGGCACTCAAGAAATCGCAAATGATGACAAGTTTTCAAAGATCAAATCAACAATGCAAACTAAAACAAGTGAATGATGCAATCCTAAACAATTCTAACAAATATGAATGCAAAAAGATGAAAATATTTTTGGATTTTTTGAAAATTTTATGATTTTTTTGGTTTTTCTATGCAAAAGAAATGAAAAACTAAGAACAAAGAAAACAAGGTTAAATCATCTCTTGAACCCTCCCCCAAACTTAAATCACACAGTCCCTTGTGTGAAAGAAGTCAAAGAAAGATTCAAGAGGAAAAACAAAGAAAAAAGCATGAAAATGAGATGGTATGTACAAGGGAAGAAACGTTTGATACCTTAGTGCTCCCCAAAGAACTGGGAAGCAAGGTCATGAGTTGGAGAGGGCAGGCGACCATAACATCATCAATCGAGTCAAAATAGGTGTGGTGGGAATGGGCTCGGTCGAGTCTGTGGCTCGAGTCAGAATAGCTTGCCTTTTGAACTAACTCCTGCAAGACTTAGACAGAAAGAACTACAAAGAACTTAAATGAAAGAGTTATATACAAGATAGGCATGGGAATTCCTCCCAAGTGAGCTTTTTTAAGGTCCCATAGCTTGACCTTTTACCTTTTAGGCATGAAAGAGCAGTCCCACCATCAAGAGTGACAATAAGGATTGAAGATAGGAGCTCCTTGAGCTTGGTTTAATCTTTTTGAAGCTTAGAACTGACTAAGGCCTTGACACTGGAAAAGGGTTTAGACTTTCCCTTGCACTTGATCTTGTACTCAATCTTCCCATCCTTATACCTTAGAGGGATCAACCTTAGTTTATTGGGAGATGGATCAATGGAGAGAGGTTGGGGTTCGTTCATCTTCCTTGTGGTTCCCAGATTGGCCCTGATGGCTCTACCCACGTCCTTCTCTTGAGCACTTTCCATGTGCTCACCAAACAAGCTTTGTAGACACTCTCCATCTAGGACGCCATTGACACACTCATGAAGCTTTTTCTGATTAGTTTTCTTCACCACTGCACCCTCATCACGTTCAGCAAAACTATTCTCCTTAATCTCCAATGAGGGAAAGAAGAAATAGCTTACACATTTTTCATTGAGAGAAAATGCATCCTCTTGAACCTCTTCAAGATCACTCTCTTCTTCATGAGCCCATTGGATGGATTCCAAACCATAGTCTTGACCTGTGCCCACGTCCTTAGCCTCTTCTTCATGCTGGGGTTCACCAAGTTTTCCATTGAAACCAAGTGGTGTCATTTCTTCATTAACCTCAACAGGAGCATTATTAGAGATCAGAGAAGGCTCATGGTTCTCTTGGTAGCTTTGTTGAATTCCTTTAACTCCATGGTTAGACCAATGATTGAGAGACATACTCTTTTGGTTGGAGTTTCCATTCTGGACCACGAAATTGGTTTCCTCTTGGTGCTGCTCAAGATCCAAACAAAGTCCTCTTTCTTGCACACTTAGGAGCTTTTCCAATCTATCCAACTTATCTTGCAAAGCTGTCCACTTGAAGTCTTCATACAAACTCTCTTTGGGGATTGGAAATGGCTAAGTATAGCTTCTCTTGTAAACCCATGATGTGAACAATCCCTAGTGTATCCTCTCAACCTTTCCCATGCCTCATGAAAGGTTTCATGGCTGCCTTGTTGGAAGCTCAAGATGCTTCTCCTCATTTGGTGTGTTCTTTGTATGGGATAGAACCTTAGAAGGAAGACTCTCTTGCAATCATCCCAAGAATTGACCAAATGAGATGGTATGGCTCTCTCCCATTGGCTTGCCTTTCCTCCAAGTGAGAATGGAAACAAGATGAGCTTGATACTATCTTTAGGAACACCACAGATCCTAAACGTGCTACACAACCTATCAAAGTAGTCCAAGTGATCATAAGGATTCTCCAGTCCATTTCCCAAGAACTTAGAGCTTTGAATCAACCTTATCAAACTTGGCTTGATCTCATAGGCGTGGGCTTCAATGGGTGGAGGATGGATTCCATAACTAAACCCATCATAATGAAGAACATCACAATCTCCAACTGTGGGCGTGGCCACTTGTGCTTGGTTAGGAGGTTGGACCAATTCTGGAGGTTGTGGAGGTAGAGGAATGCTCTTGTGGTTGTCCATCTCAAACACCTCACATGATCTTGTCTTCCCATTTCTCTTCTTCTTAGTTTGGTACCTTGGAAAGCACAAGAGAATAAGAGAACACAAGTTAGTAACAACAAAAAGGAAAAAGTTCATCATCTCCTTGAGAGATGAACAAACACAAGAACTTGATCTTGCAAGCTACTGGAATTCTAAATGCAATCAAAACAATTCCCAATCGGCAATGGCGCCAAATTGATAACAGGATTTTACTATCAATTACTCAAATCCAGCTACTCATGTCATTGTAGCATTTGAGGTGTCAATCTAAATGGGAAGCTGATTACTCTATAGAACTATGCAGGAATTATGCAATTCAAGCCAAATGATAAATGAAGATGGATGTAACAACTAAACAACCTAATATAACGGAAATGCAATGCAGAATGTAAAAGAAAGCAGCTAAATGCAAGAAATTAACAAGAACAAGCAGATGCAAGGGAGCTCGACCAAGAGCTCGATCGAGTTGATGAGCTCGACCAGGAGCTCGATCGAGTTGATGAGCTCGATCGAGTTGAGGGTCGAGATGGTGAGCTCGATCGAGTTGAGGGTCGAGTTGGTGAAAAAACAGAGGAAATGCAATGAAAAGCGATAAAGGTGCAAACTTTAAGATGCTAATACGAAGATTAGGGTTAAAGACAGGGTTTTGCAGCTAAAGGGAGGCTATACTTAATCAGTCTTACTCTTAAACAACTTGTATCAATGTATCTCTTGATATTGAGCTTCTCAATGCCTAGCTAACCTTTTCCCAAGGTGAAAGCTATCAACCAAGACTTGATCTCAGAAACAGGGGGTTATCCAGTGAGAATCAAGCCTTGGAGGCCATAAGATCATTGCTCAAACTAATCCATCCAATCCCTATGACTCCATTTCGAGAGCAAGAGTTATTGGAGCTCTTAGTGGACCTTTTCCAACGATTTCCATCACTTCCATGTGGAGAATCTCCTATGGACATACAAGCCAGGGGTAGTGGTCATGTAGCCTTAAGGTTTGTCCAAAAGAGAGAGATTTCTAGATTAAGAACATAAGCAAGAAGGATTAAGCATAAACAATAGAGCAAGGAGAGCTCGTGTGTATCACGTAAAGAATCGACAAACTCCACAACTCGGCCATGCATACGTTTACAATCAGGAACGGTTGTAAGGTCAAGAGGTCCACGAGGAAGGAGACTGTAAACCACCTCAAACGGACTAAAACCCGAGCTCCGATTAGTAGCGTGATTGTGTGCAAACTCCGCCTGACACAAACGAGACTCCCACGACCGAATATTCTCACCCACCAAACAACGCAACATGTTACCTAAAGCACGATTAGTAACCTCCGTTTGGCCATCCGTCTGAGGGTGATACGCCGTGCTCATATCAAGGCTAGTATGAAGCATCTTCCATAACGACCGCCAAAAGTGACTAAGGAATCTTTTATCGCGATCAGAAACAATGGAGGTCGGAAGACCATGAAGCCGATAGATCTCCTGGAAAAAAAGTTGAGCAACTTTCACCGCGTCAGTCGTTCTCTTGCAAGGAATAAAATGCGCCATCTTCGAGAAACGATCCACCACAACAAAAATAGAATCATTTCCGCGTTGAGTCCTTGGTAACCCTAAAATAAAATCCATGCTCAAATCGGTCAATGGTTGAGTTGGAATAGGCAAGGGAAGATATAACCCAGCATTAGAAGCTTGACCCTTCGCCAATTGACATGCACGACAACGTTCCACAAACCGTTCGACGTCACGACGTAGAGTAGGCCAATAATATGAAGCCGAGACCAACTGCAATGTTCTATCACGGCCAACATGTCCCTCCACATGAAGCTCTTCGATCACACGTAACCTCAAACTACAATCAGGCACGCAAAGACGAACACCATAAAATAGAAAACCATCTTTAAGGGTAAAGTCATCACGAGTGCCACTATTAACGTCGGTGAGGATTCTTGAGAAGAAAGGGTCAGACTCGTAAAGCTCCGAAAAAGACGCAAAGCCAGGGACATTAACATGCATGGTAGTGAGCAAAGTGTGACGTCGACTCAAGACATCAGCAACACGATTCAACTTTCCGGCCTTGTGACGGATAGAGAAAGTGAATTGTTGCAAATATGCTATCCACGAGGCATGTCGAGATGAGACTTTAACCTGACTATCGAGATGTTTCAAAGCATCATGATCTGTAAATAGCACAAAATCTCAATGGACCAAGTAATGACGCCAATGTTTGATGGCTTGTACCACGGCATAAAATTCAATGACATACGTATTGTATCGACTCCGAGCTCCAGCGAGCTTTTCACTGAAATACGCCACCGGCAGTGTTTGTTGGCTCAAAACCGCTCCTATGCCCAGCTTAGACGCGTCACAATGGAGTTCAAATGGTTGTTCAAAATCTGGGAGGACTAAGAGAGGAGCCGACGTTAACTTCTGTTTAATAACCCGAAATGCTTCTTGTGCTTCTTCGGACCACACAAAGTGTGAGGCTTTCATGCAATCAGTCAAAGGAGCCATGATCGAGCTGAAATGGGGGTACAAAGCGACGATAAAACGAAGCTAGTCCATGAAAACTACGCACTTCCGACACTGAACGTGGTTCTGGCCACCAACGCACCGCCTCAACTTTACTCTCGTCCATTGATAAGCCACTCGAAGACACAACATAACCAAGAAAAAGAACTTGATCACAACCCAACTCACACTTCTGCCGAGCCACAAAGAATGTCTCACGACGCAAAACTAGTAAGATTTGACGAAGATGGTCTTGATGCGTCTCCATTGAAGAACTGAAAATCAATATATCATCAAAGTAGACCACAACAAACTTACCAATAAACGGACGCAAAGCTTGATTCATGACCCTCATGAATGTGCTTGGAGCATTAGACAACCCAAAAGGCATCACCATCCATTCAAACAAACCTTCACGTGTCTTAAAAGCTGTTTTCCATTCATCACCCGGACGAAGATGAATCTGATGGTAGCCGCTCTTTAAATCCAATTTAAAAAAAATTGTGTCTTCCTGATTTGATCAAGTAAGTCATCAAGGCGAGGAATCGGAAAGCGATATCGCACAATGATCTTGTTAATAGCTCGACTATCCACACACATCCTCCACGAGCCATCTTTTTCTGGAATAAGAAGAGCGGGTACGGCGCAAGGACTCAAACTCTCTCGTACATGTCCTTTAGAAATCAATTCCTGACTTGTCGTCTCAATTCTTCATGCTCTTGAGGACTCATCCTGTAGTGTGGTCTATTCAGGAGGACAGCTCCAGGAACAAGGTCAATCTGGTGTTGAATGTCTCGAAGTGGTGGAAGACCTTGAGGTAGTTCAGACGGGAAGACATCCGCAAATTCTTCTAGTAAACGTGCAATCCAAGCAACTAAAGGTTTCTCCATTTTTGGAGTTTTGTCCGATGTTAAAAGAACCACAGCAAATCCCGCAGCTTGAAATTCTGTCTCAAACACCGACATGGAACAAAATAACACACTCGCCGTTGGTTCACGCACCACGTCACGGACCGGACCCAAAACGTCGAACTTAGCTGTCGGTGGAGCTAGGCTAGGAAGGAGAATGATGCGACGATTCTCAAAAATAAAACTATGAGTGTTGCTCTTACCATGATGAGTAACATCTCGATCATACTGCCATGGTCGCCCTAAAAGTAAGTGACCAACATCCATTGGTGCAATATCACAAAATATCTTGTCTTTGTAATGGGGGCCAATGGAGAAAGACACCAAAGTGCGGTGAGTGATATGAATATCAACCGCCTTGTTCAACCACGTATAAACGGGGATGATTTTCACGCCGCAATCCCAACTTCCGACAAGCTTCCTCAGAAACTACGTTTTGAGAACTCCCTGAATCAATCACTACTTGACAAACTTTGCTCTTTATTGTGCAAGTAGACTGAAAAATATTGGTGCGGAGATAGGGGTCTTCACTTGCTACCGGAGAGAAACAAGAACGCGCGACCAACATAGTTCCCTGATCACCACTTGTTCTAGTTTCGGGAAAGGCAAGTACGTCGTCTTCGGGGGTCTCACCTTCTTCACCTTCATCATCCCACTTAACCTCATCGGTAAACAAACCGCGTCGAGTCTTTGTGGGACAAGCGGTTTGAATGTGGCCAGCTTCTCCACAAGAAAAACATCGTAAAACGTTTGATTTAGTGGATCTGCGTAACTGCTGAGAGTCACTCGAAGGATTCGTTGTGGCTAATCGTCCACCTCCTGTGTCTTCACTCTCACACATGTTAGGAATTGTGGCTCCTCCATCCGTAATAGTCGGCCGATTACGAGAAGTAGAGCTCCAAGACGAGTTAGACTTGAATTGCTGCTCAAACGCGATAGCCCTCGATTGAGCTTCTGCGATCGTCATTGGATCAAATTGCATTAAAGCATTCTGTATTTGAGGTCGTAGTCCTCCAATAAAACGTGACACCAACTGAATTTCGCTATCGAAGATCTCGTTACTTGTAATCAAGAGAGAAAACTCGTCAGCGTAGTCGTCTACTGTGCGAGATCCTTGACGCAAGTTTTGCAACCTGGTATACATCGTACGGTCGTAATTCTGCGGTAAAAATGAGAGACGGAGCTGCTTATGTAGTTTCTCCCATGTCTTAATCTTGCTTTTACCAGTGCGGGCTCGAGTAGCCTTTAGTTGTAACCACCATGAAGCTGCGCGTCCGCGGAATTTGGTTGCAACTACTGGTACTTTACGATGATCGGGAACTTGTTTGAATTCCATGGCCTCGTCGACGGCGACAAGCCAATCCAAAAGTTCGTCTCCGCGAGCACCTCCATGAAACTCGGGAATCTCCACTTTGAACCCTAATTCCCAGTTTCGGTCACCTGTGTTTCCATCTTCCTCACGAAGATCTTCCTGAAGCTGACGACGTTGGTCCTTGCCTCCTGCAAAAGGGTTGTCGAGTGTTTCATCAGAATCAGAATCCAAACCTTGCCTTGACTGATTGTTCTGCAACATCGTTTCAGCCAACTCTTGGATGGAATTAGTGATCGTAGCCTGGATATTCGCCTGCATATCCATAAGAGTACGACGAAGCTCTGCCCACTCATTGGTCGGTGCTTCGTTTGGTATGTTGGGTGTTGCGCTTAGGAGCCATCTCTGAATCAAGGAAAAAAAAACACGCCAAGAACGTGCTGTCTCTGATACCAAAACTGGCGTAGCGTAAGCGTAACGACTCATCGTTGATTCAAACTGAATAGCCGAACAGAGAGTAGCTTGAAGCTCGTTGATTCACAAGGAATAGCCGAGAAACAAGAAAGATAGATGCTTGTAAAAGCTCTGAATAATTCAATAACAACTGTCTTTCACGTTACACAAGAGAGACTATAAATAATGAAAGCGACAAACGAAAACCCTAGACGTTTGTAAAAAGGAAATAACAAGAACATAGCTTAAAGCCCAAGCAAACGCTTAAGACTCATAATAACTAAAGAAAAGCCCATACGAATAATATGAAAAGAAAGATAAAGAAGATAGTAGTAGAGATGCGCTGCATCACAAAGGCATCAAATCCAAAGGAGAGATGGGTTTAAACCCATAAACAATTTCAAGTGGTGAAAACTTAGAAGCATAATGCACAGCATGGTTATATGCAAACTCAATATGCAGCAAACATTCATCCCAACTTTTAAGATTCTTTTTAATCAAGGTGCGCAACAAGGTTCCTAGAGTTCTATTAACAACTTCAGTTTGGCCATCAGTTTGAGGGTGACAAGTAGTAGAAAATAAAAGCTTAGTACCCAACTTAGACCACAAAGTTTTCCAAAAATAACTCAGGAACTTAGTGTCACGATCAGAAACAATGGTGCACGGCATGCCATGCAATCTAACAATTTCTTTAAAGAACAGAGCATCTATATGAGATGCATCATCAGTTTTTGACATGCAACAAAATGAGCCATTTTTTAGAACCTATCAACTATCACAAAGATAGAATCTTTTCCAGTTCTAGTCCTAGGTAAGCCAAACACAAAATCCATGGATATATCAGTCCAAGGATGAGATGGGATAGGGAGAGGAGTGTACAAACCGTGAGGCTGAACCTTAGATTTGGATTGTTTACAAGTTGCACACCTAGAACAATCCTCTCCACATCTCTGATCATGTGCGGCCAATGAAAATGATAACGCATGACTTGAAGTGTTTTGGCAACACCAAAGTGTCCCATCAAGCCTCCTCCATGCGCTTCCCTAACAAACAAATCCCTCAAGGAACAATTAGGCACACATAGACGGTTCTCATAGAAGAGAAACCCATCTTGTCTAGAATATCGACCAAAGCAAACTTGGAACAAGACTTGTAAATCTCAGCAAAATCAGAATCTGAATCATATAAATCTTTTATCTGTTCAAAGCCCAAGAGTTTAGCATCAAGAGTTGAGAGAAGAGTGTACCTCCGGGACAATGCGTCGGCTACAACATTGTCCTTACCTTTTTGTACTTGATGACATATGGAAAGGTCTCGATGAACTCAACCCACCTGGCATGTCTTTTGTTGAGCTTTTGTTGACCCTTAAGATGTTTGAGTGATTCATGATCTATGTGGATGACAAACTCCTTTGGCCAGAGATAGTGTTGCCAAGTTTGCAAGGCACGGACCAAGGCATTGAGTTCTTTGTCATAGGTTGGATAGTTGAGAGTGGCTCCTCCAAAGAGAGAGAGATTTCTAGGTTAAGAACATAAAGCAATAGAGATTAAGCATAAGAGTTTCTCTAGTCTAGCCCATCTTAAACCCTAAAGAGAACTACTCACTACACATGATGAAATGCATAACCAAATGCAATAAAGGAGAAATTAAACGAAAGAGGGAAAGAAACTAAAGAACTTTTATTGAGATAAGCAAGTGCAAATACAGAAAGATAAGGCCTAGATCTAAGGTTCAAGAGCAAGAGCTCAAGAACACAAAGAGAGGCTAAGGTTTTTGTACTTGCATTTTGCATGGTTTTAGTACATCTTTTATGCATCTTTTGCATAGTTTTAGCATCCATTAGCATCATATCTTGTTCCTTTTCTCTTCTTATGCATTCATAGTAGTTTTAGGTTGCATTTGCATACATATGATGTTTGGTCCTTTGAAATAGGTCTTTTGGAGCATTTTGGAGCATATGGGACGTAGGAGCATGGAAGGACTTGGTGCATGGACGCAGCTCAACTGGACACGCAAAGGAAGAAGGAGGAAGCCATCTTGAAGACCAGCTCGACCACTCGACCATCCGGTCGAGTTCCTCAACTCGACCGGCCAAGCTTCAACTCGATCGAGCTGAGAAGTCAAAGTCAAACCCGAAAAATGTTGCTTCCCCCTTGACTTTCCTTTGACCCTAAACCTAATCCTCTTTGTATTTAAAGGCTAAAAGCCACGAAAAAACCACCAAGCTTTACATTACTTTTGTTTTAGCTTTCTTTTAATTTATTGTCTTTTACTTTTTAGAGCTCTAATCCATCTTTGTGTTCTTGAAGCTCTTGCTTCTTGAATCCTAGATCTTGGATAATCTCTTTTATTTGCACTTGCTTATTTCAATAAAAGTTGTTTATCTTTATCTCCTCTTTCATTTGATGTCTCTTTTCATTGCATTTGCTTGTGTTTATTTCATTCATGTGTAGTGAGTAGTTACCCATTTAGGGTTTGAGATGGGATAGATTAGGGGATCTTTATGCTTAATCCTTCTTGCTTATGTTCTTAATCTAGAAATCTCTCTCTTTTGGAAACCTTAAGGCTACATGACCACTACCCCTGGCTTGTATGTCCATAGGCGATTCTCCACATGGAAGTGATGGAAATCGTTGGAAAAGGTCCACTAAGAGCTCCAATAACTCTTGCTCTCGAAATGGAGTTCATAGGGGTTGGATGGATTAGTTTGAGCAATGATCCTATGGCCTCCAAGGCTTGATTCTCACTGGCTAACCCCCTGTTTCTGAGATCAAGTCTTGGTTGATAGCTTTCACCTTGGGAAAGGGTTAGCTAGGCATTGAGAAGCTCAATATCAAGAGATACCTTGATACAAGTTGTTTGAGAGCAAGATCGATTAAGTATAGCCTTCCTCTGATTGTAAACCCTGTCTTAGACCCTAATTCTCGCATTAGCTTGTTAAAGTCGCTGCCTTTATTGCTTTTTACTTCAACTCGACCCTAAACTCGATCGAGCTTGGTACTCTGTTCCCACTCGACTCGAGTCCTTGGTCGAGCTGTTGCTCTACTGCTTTATTTACTTACTGCATTTCATTTCTGTTTCATTAGGTTGTTAGTGTTACCCCATATCATTTACTGCTTTGCTTGACTTCCTTGTTTTGCATATTCTCATAGAGTGACAATTTCACCCATTGGATTGATACCCTTATACTATAATGACTATGATGGTTAAGGGGAATTGTTGATGTGTTTGTGTTTGCATCTTACCACCTCATCATATACCACTGTTGCATTCCACCACATTCATTTCATATCTTTCACACCCACACACAAATCCTATCATCAATTTGGCGCCGTTGCCATTTTGGGTTGAATATCATTTGAGTTTCTAATACACTTGGACGATCAAGCTATACCACCCCTGTTCTTTGTATTGCTGGGTTTTTGATTCTTTTTGCAGGTGTATGCGAACTCGATCGAGTCGACAACAGAAGACTTGGTCGAGCTAGACTTCACCACGGGTAGAAAGAGAGTCAGAGGACACAGAGGGTACAAGAGGAACCTGAGGTGCTTGTTACTGATACCATGGATGTACCAGAGGGGAATGGAAACCCTTTGGGCAATGGACTCGGTCGAGCTAGGCAACCTCGACCGATTGGTCTAGGAGATGCTCCAAACCGCCACAAACAGAGACAAGGGATTGTTCCACCACCAGTGCAGAACCACAACTTTGAGATCAAGCTGGGAATGATCAACCTTGTTCAGAACAAGATGTTCCATGGATTGCCAAGTGAAGACCCCATTGACCACCTTGATGAGTTTGATAGGCTTTGCGATTTGACAAAGATCAATGGTGTCTGTGAAGATGCCATCAAGCTGAGACTCTTTCCTATGTCTCTAGCTGACAAAGCTCACCAA